CAGGGCTTCCGCAGTTTCCTATTGGCTGCAGGAGCTTCCTGCAACCAATCAGAAGCCGCGCTTTGGTTTCCAAATGTTTTGGAAGTCGAACGGACTTCCGGAACGGATTCTGTTCCACTTTCAAGGTACAACTGTACTGGCACGCACAACTTCTCCACCTCTGTGTTGTGCGTAGACGGTCTCAACTGCTCTGGCAACTTCCTTTCCTTTCCTCAGGTGCTGATGTGCCCCAGCGCAGGATTTACAGACCTGGCTGAGATTGTGTCCCGCATCGAGCCAGCCAAGAGCTACCTGTCAGACAGCTATGCCGATGGTGAGTACTTATCGCTTAGCAGGTTCAAGTTAGTTCAGGTCCTGCTTTTAGCAATGGACTCAGGATGCTTCCAGCTGGAGGTATTTGTGAGCAGAATGTGGCATGTCTGACACCGCAGTTCCCATGTTCATCAAGTTAGCAAGTATATCTCTATGTACATCAAGAAACCAGTGGCAAGACCTTAGCAAGGTTTGCTGGTGTTTGTTTTATCTCGCTCTTTCATGCACGCAAGCACACACACAAACACACACACACAAATAGGATGTGGGAGCACATCTGGAAATTTACAGCAGCAGTGGGAGGTTGGGCTGAGGGAAGGGTACTGCTTTTTGTCCAGCAACCAAAACCACAGCAAAGCTTCTTCTGTGTGTCTGCACACCAGGGGAAGAGTCCGACTACTTGACTGAGTACGAGGATGAAGGAATGGACACCGTGCGAGAGGAAGAAGGGCAGGAGCTGCTCTTTGCCCCAGCAGAGCCGAATGCTGTCTTTGAAACAGTAAGTCGCCAAAGTACTCTGATTATAGGGCAGCCTGTGAAAATGTTCATCTGTAGCTATAGATAAACGAAATAGGTTTCCTCTGACTATAAGGGCCAACCTGTGCAGGGGAGCCAAAGTCTAGCCTTGAATGCTAGAGGGGGACATGGCCTCCCTTTTCCTGGGTCAGGGGCATTCAAGGCTGCCCAACTGCTCATCTCTTGCTTGGGGCATCTTCACCAGCGAAACTGTCCTGCTGGTGCAGAGCATCTTTCAGGGACTGGACGGAGGAGGAATGGTGGGGACTGAGCCCTCCTCTTCCAGAACCACCCTGGGAAGAGGAAGGCAGTATAGATTTAGAACAGTGGTTTGCAGAAGGGCATAGTTCAGAGGCTGCAGAGGAGAGAAGCTGGGAAATATTGGGAGAGGAGCAGGAAGAAGAAGCAGCACCAGGGGAGAGACAGCTGACAACTCAGTGTCTTTAGAAAGCATGCCAGACCCCCCCCCCAAGGACCCGGCATGCATTGAGAGTAGTGGAACGGAAAGCTCAGAGGCACACAACACAGATCAGCCGGTGCAGGGATGATGCAGAATAGGAGAGACAGAGGGGTGGGACTTTACTTGGAGCAACGTCATTACTGCAATACAGAGGCACTTTCCAAAGCCTCTCTCTGTGTTTATTGAATAAAGGACTTGGTAAGAACTTCTAGAGGGACACGAGTGGCACTGTGGGTTAAACCACAGAGCCTAGGACTTGCCGATCAGAAGGTCGGTGGTTCGAATCCCCGTGACGGGGTGAGCTTCCGTTGCTCGGTCCCTGCTCCTGCCAACCTAGCAGTTTGAAAGCACGCCAAAGTGCAAGTAGATAAATAGGTACCACTCCGGCAGGAAGGTAAACGGCGTTTCTGTGCGCTGCTCTGGTTCGCCAGAAGCGGCTCAGTCATGCTGGCCACATGACTGGGAAGCTGTACGCCGGCTCCCTCAGCCAATAAAGCGAGATGAGCGCTGCAACCCCAGAGTTGGCCACGACTGGACCTAATGGTCAGGGGTCCCTTTACCCTTTACCTTTTAAGAACTCTTCTTGTTGTCTACTCCTTGGCTGCCCACCATGGGAGGGATCAGATTCCCTAGAAACCTGACAGCATCCCACTGGTGCGTCTGCCATGATGGCAAGGTTTCTGTTCTCCTGCCAGATTGCCCTGCGGTCGCCACGCCTTCGATACCTGATTGCGTCCTGAATGTCACATCAAGTCAATGCCTCTCTGCGGTTCTCTTCCATAAACGCTGGTTTCACAGCTACATTTCCCCCTTCTTTCAGGATGAGGAAAAGAGCCTACGATATCGCCGTGGGACTCATCAGGAAGCCGCTGCCCTTCCGACTACCCCCACCCCCTGAGAGGGGTGCTGCTACTTGAGCTAGAGAAACTGAGACCAAACCTTGCACTTGCCTCCTGCGAGCTGCAGCGAGGAGCCCTCCAGAGCACACCGTTTGTAACTTTTTGGCCACCTGGCTGGCAGGCACGCTGGCATCCCTGCAGGGCCCTGGTGTGTTCCTTGATCCTCTTGCGCCACGTCAGAAGGTGACCCGCTGGATAGAACTGTAGACCTCCCAGCACAAACTGAAGGATGCTGCCAAGCAGATGCTGCTCAGAGTTACCTGCCCAGGTGTGGGGATGGAGCCGGCCACCCTGGCACCCGAGTGCTTTCAGGGTTCCTTGGCTCGACCACTGCCTTTCTCCTCCAGCTTTCCCCTACTTGAAACAGCCCTGAAGTGGGCCGGAGAGTGGGGAAGGGGAGCAGAGGGCAGCATTTTACTTACACTACACTCCATTTTTAGGAAGGGGCCAGGGAGAAGACGTTGCAGATTCCTCCTGCGTTGGCCTAGTACCACGAGGGACCGGTTTCGAATCCTGCCCGTCCCCAGGCACTGCCCTTTTAGCCCAACCAGCTTAGGGAGGGATCTTGCACAGTGACCTGACAAAAGGAGGCTCTCTCCGATGCTGAGCGTTCCTAGTCAAAGCATTAACAGTTATGGAAGAACCACCGCCGCGAATAGGGTTACAGAAACATACCTTGTTCCTATGTTGACTTAACTTAATCCTGCTTTGAGCTGAGCCCTGACACTCTTTGGCATTTATGTTCCTAGCCTGCCTGAGGTTTCGGGCTGTGGCCACACAGACTGTTCTTTATTTTATATTTAAAAAGGGAAAAAAAGAAACGTATGAAAAACCCACTTTTTCTTTGCTTCAGATTTACAGGAAAGAAATGCAGGGCTTATGTTTGGCGGGGAGGGGGGTGTTTATCATGTACTGTATTTATTTATTCCCTTTCCCCTTGGAATGCAAAAGTGCTGCCCGTGTGGTTGTCTGGCAGCCCCCCATCCAGGCCTTGGCCAGACCCAGGTCTGCTCATCTGCATTCAAACCACACATATCCTGGGACCATAAAGTATTACAAGAAAACAGAGGCACCAAGTTGCCCCCAAGATTGAGGGCACCTTCAGAGCCACCCTTCTTTCAAGAAGATTATTCTGAAGCATTCTGCAAAAAAGGAGCTTTCAAGGTAGGCAGCTGACAGGTAGGGTAAGAGAAAGGGCAATTGAATCTTAGGCCTCTGACATCATCATCATCATTATTATTATTATTATTATTATTATTATTATTATTAATTTATTTAGAATTTATACACCGCCCTATACCTGGGGGTCTCAGGGCGGTTCACAGAATAAAATTAAGATACAAAACCACAAAATACCTAATAAAAATAAAAACAACCCACCAAAAAACACATTTTTAAAGGGCGTAGGATGTGAATTGGATCAGCCAAAGGCCTGATTAAAAAGGAACGTTTTTGCCTGGTGCCTAAAGGTGTATAATGAAGGCGCCAGGCGAACTTCCCTGGGGAGAGCATTCCACAGACGGGGAGCCACTGCAGAGAAGGCCCTGTTCTCATGTTGCCAACCTCTCAAGGAAGAGGCACACGAAGGAGGGCCTCAGAAGATGATCTCAGAGTCTGGGTAGGTTCATATAGAAAGAGGCGGCCCTTGAGGTATTGCGGTCCTGAGCCGTTTAGAAATGCAAAAAATAGAAATGCAATACCAGTGGGCAGTGGAGATAAAGATCAGGCTGCCAGGTGGCAGGAATAGAGCCTGAAAAGGTTAGATGTCAAAGCTTGGCTCCAGCCTCTGGGATTCTGTGCTTGGGTGGCACTTTGTGTATGTGTGCCTGTGTGTGACTGATAGTCAGCAGTGCAGCCAGCTGGGTGGAAAGGGGGACAGGACACAGGGCTGGAGAAGTGATAAGAGGCACACAGCCACCAGGGCAGCTGGCTGTTTCCGCCACCTCTTCTGATTCTGGGCTTGACTTCTTGGCATCGGGCAAGAACCAGGCTGCTGATTAGACAGAGGCAGCTTCCTGTGCAGACCCAAGCAATGTGCTTTTCCTGCCCATCTTGTGCACCCAGGATCTTCCCTTCCTTCCGGCCCAGCACTCAAATAAACACTTAGCAGCCTCTCCCCCTATTGCTGACCCCCAACCTCTAGTGCAGTGGGTGGGTATCTAACCTGTGTCTTTCCAGATGTCCCTGAACTACCATTTCCATTGGCCATGCAGGCCAGGGCTCCTGGGGTAGAAACGAGGGGGCTCACATGAGCCACCCCTGCCCAGGAAGCAACGTGGACTGATTTTTTAAAAATCTATTCACGTTGGATGTGTGCTGTATTGACACAGATGGGAGACCCAGGTGAGTCTGTGGTTTCTCGGGGTGGGAGGTGAGATCTTCTTGCACCTTGCCTCCTCTCCTTGGCACAGCTTTTTTGTTGATATCCTACGGGGCTCATCTGGGTGTTTCACAGGGCGGGTGCCACTACCGAGAAGGCCCTCTGCCTGGTTCCCTGTAACCTCACTTCTCGCAGTGAGGGAATCACCAGAAGGCCCTCGGAGCTGGACATCAGCTGGAGACGCTCCTTCAGGCATACTGGGGCCAAGGCCATTTAGGGCATGGGTAGGCAAACTAAGGCCCAGGGGCTGGATCCGGCCCAATCTTCTAAATCCAGCCTGCGGATGGTCTGGGAATCTGCAAGTTTTTACATGAGTAGAATGTGTGCTTTTATTTAAAATGCATCTCTGGGTTATTTGTGGGGCATAGGAATTCGTTCTTTTTTCTTTTCTTTTTTTCAAAATATAGTCAGGCCCCCCACAAGGTCTGAGGGACAGTGGACTGGCCCCCTGCTGAAAAAGTTTTCTGGCCCCTGGTTTAGGGCTTTAAAGGTCAGCACCAACACTTTGTCCAATGTGATCAGCACGGCAGCAACTTGATAGGCAAACATTTAATCCAAAGAAAACTGTTTTGCTGCCTGAGTGTGTTCCTCTTTGCCAGAAGGTTAAAACCATAGCAAGACTTGACCGCTGAACTAATCCTCTGCCCGGACCTCTACAGCTGCTGGCATTGCATGACTTCCTACTGGGAAAGGATGGTTGTCAACCCATAAAAGAGATTGCCTAGTACTATTGCATACACCTGGGCATTTAATTGTTTACATTTCTATCCTAAGCTGCACTTAAAAATGGCAATGAATATCGTAAAATGGCAATGCACTCAGCTGCCATATATATCTCACAAAGGCAGAAATCTGTGCAGATTGCTGCTGTTCTGCAGGTAGGATTCATCCACACACCAGCAAATTCAGGTTTGTGCAATGAACCTGGTGCTGCTGCTGAAAAAGAACAACAACAGACTTCTGCCCATAAGAAAAGTGACTGGAAAATGCAGTGGCCTAACAGTTGCTTGACACAATGTCTTTTAACCAAACCGGAAATAATTTCAATAAGCATCTGACATCGTGAACCCTCCCTGCAAACTTTGTGCAAGCAATTCGGGATGAACGCTCAAGAAACGCGTTGTCCAGAAGATGCCTAACAGTTCCAGTCCTAGCTTAAAATCAAGCCCGTGTTCAAGATGGTTTGACACTTTCAGAGAAAGCCTTTGGCTTTAAATTTCACGGAAAACATCCACCCTCATCCAGAGAGCCTTGCTTGCAGCAGTGAGCTGCAAGGCTGCTGCATGCAAATATATCCCTTGCAAACAGAGATAATGCCATAGGATGGAGTCATTTGGGAGGAAGGAAGCAGATTCACTCAGGGTTGAATGCAGATTAGGCAGGCCCATGAGTAAACTGGGCTGATGTGAAGAAATGGACTTTTGTTGTGTGAGCTAAAACCATTCTGTGAAATGCTGGTATGTGGTTATTGGCTGGTTGATAATACATTACCGAAAGTGAGTGTTTGGTTTTTAGTTTTTTCTGTGCGTACATACACACAAAACACCCAAAAAATAGGAAATTTTAAATTAAATTTGAAGCTCTGTCTGGGTTTCCTCTCTCAAGATCTCAGCTTTCTCCCATCAGGTGGTGGCAATCAGCATTTGCCCACCAAAGAGCCGCTATCTAGTTTAGGGCACCATGGGAGAGGTCTCATTGGTTGCACTTTGCAGCGAGGACCTGAGAGCCATCCTTTGAATGCATCATTTCCTTCCTGGAAGCCAGCCATGGTCTTTGTGGCATCCTCCTGCTCCTTGCCTTTTGGCCCCCAGCTCTCTGTCTATCAGCCTGCAAGCATCCTCTGTTGGGCGTTCCGAGGAGCCTTATGCTGTGATGGCATCGTGGAAGGGACTCTACAGAAATGTTGACCTTGAGCTAGAAGACCCAAAGGCCCTGAGCAGAGGAGTCAATCAGGTACCGTATTTTTCGCCCCATAGGACGCACCGGCCCATAGGACGCATCAAGTTTTTTGGGGGGAAATAAAGAAAAAAAATTTTATTTCCCCCCCCCAGGCGCTTGTGGGGCCGGCAGCGGGGAGAAGCGCTCTTCTCCCCACAGCCCACCTTCAGACCAGGTCCGGGGACAGTGGGAAGACGCGCTGCGCCTCCCTGCTGTCCCCGGAGCTTGTGGGGCAGGCAGCGGGGAGAAGCGCTCTTCTCCCTGCCGCCCGCCTTCAGATCAGGTCCAGGGACAGCGGGAAGACGCGCTGCAGCCTCCAAACCACTTCCCCGCCGTCAGCCTCCAAACCACTTCGGGAGACAGCGGGATGGCGGTGTTCCGCCTCCCTCTGTCCCCCGACCTTGTGGGGCTGGCGCTGGGGCTCTCCTGAGGGGTGCGCACCGGCCCCTCTCACTCTCCAGGCTTCAGCGAAAGCCTGCATTCTCCCCATAGGACGCATACACATTTCACCTTCATTTTTGGAGGGGAAAAAGTGCGTCCTATAGGGCGAAAAATACGGTATGTGGCACAGAGTGAGGCACATTAGGTTAGCCATATTGATTTGTATGCTGTTGGTGGATTTTTTGTCATTGTCTTGTTGGGCTGTGTATGTGATAAAGGGGAGCCATACCGGGGTGAAGGCGTCTTCTATTTGTCCCCATGTCAGTTTCAGTTTATTGGTTAATTTTTCTAGTAGGGCTGTTTCCCATACTATTTGGTACCATTGGTCCATGCTTACTCCTGACAGGTCTCTCCAGTGTCTGGCTATGATGCTTCTGGCTGCTGAAAGTAGGTGGGTTTTGAGTTCTTTGTGGTGTAAGTGGGCATTGTTGTCTTGGAAGATGTTTAGTAAGGCCAATTCTGGGGTAATTTCCACCCAACTCACACATGAAAACAAAGACCACCACAGCCAACCACAAATGAATAACCACACCCTAGGCCAACCCTAACCTCTCTCACCACCAAAGGAACACAAGTGAACAGCAAAGAACCTGCACAAGCAACGCTGACACCAAACCCTACATACAGTAAGTAAAATAGAAACATTGCCGCCACCACCCATCTTCCACCACCCCCTCTTCCCCCCTTTTCTTTCTAATGTCTCAACAAATGGAACTGATTTGTAAAAATGTTACATGGGGGGAAAATACGAGAGAGAGGGAGAGACATTGCACACATTTTTGTAAATCAAGAAAATCTTTAATAAATAAACAGAGTGAGGCGCATAGGAAAAGGGTCCATTGCTGGGGATTATTAGGAGATGCAAGGGCCCTGGAGGAGCAATCCCAGAGTTGATTATCTTACTCCTGCCTCCATTCCTAGCTCCCTACAAGATGCAGCTTCAACCAAGGCTGTTGTGTTTTTATCTTTCTTCCTTCCCCATCCCTAATTGTGCCCACTTATTTTCTCCCAATGGCACACAGCTTCTGTAGGGGCGGCAGACCCCTGATAATGGTCTAGCCCTAAAGCAGAGCTTTCCAAACTTTTTCATGTCGGTGACGCACTTTCTGGACATGCATCGTTTCATGACACAGTACCGTATTTTTCTGTGTATAAGATGAGGGTATTTTATTTAAAAATTATGCTAAAAATTGGGGGGTCATCTTATACATGGATAGTGGAGAGGTGAGACGGGCGTTTGGTGGCTGCCGGTAACAGGAGATTGTAAACGGCGTTTTTTGTGGGTGGTTGGTGGGTGTGGCAAGGTCCACTGGCTATTGACTGCTGCAGCAAATGGGCGGGGTGATTGGCACTTGCTTTCGTTAGGCAGGTATGCCAATGATTGGTGGTTTCGTTGATGTGGTTGTGGCAGTCCTGTGGCTGAGTGATATTCAGCAACTCCCCTCCCCCCCAAAAAAGCTCAACAACTCTGGGCAATCTCCCCCCATTTTCTCAATCTGGAGTCCCAAATTATACAGGGGAGGGGGAATGTTATACACAGAAAAATACGGCAATTCAGTTTCGCTGGCAAGCGAAAGGTTAATCTAAACGAAAGGTTAATCTAACCCCTTTCCAGCCCCGGGAGGATTGCAGGGAGCATTTGCACGACACATCTACACACTGCAGCCCACACACTTAACATGTCGTGACACACAGTTTGGAAAGCTTTGCTCCAAAAGGTGTATGGCTCCAGTTGAATTCAAAAACGTTTCTTTGTCCATGAAATCCAACAACCGCTCTTGCCCCAATGGGTTGGGTTTTAGGATTCGGGTATCAAAGGCATCGTCTGCTTCCACACCAAAGGCAAAATGCTCCCAGGTTTCCTGAGAAGCCCAAAGCCTTGAAGGAGTCAGACAGGCAGCTGAAGCATAGCTGGCAAAACACAGAACGCCCACTCCACTTTCCATGGCAGAGAAGTCTCTTAACTGCTCTACATTTGAATGACGCTGTTTGGCTGAAATAGCTGCAAAGCAGACACGGGGAAGGGTTAGGGAGTGAGAGGCGTTTTAACTTAACGTGTAGCAAAAGCACAATAAATTAAATGAATTAAACAACACACAGTTTTTGCTTGGTTTGCATAATTTGTGCCCCCCCCCAACAGAATTTCAGCTTCTCTCTTCACACAAATGTTAGGTTAACTTGATGCAGGGTGCTTTTTTCAGTTAGTTAGTTTTTTGTACAGACCACAACAAGTTCACTGTCAGACACTCCAAGTGTCCCTATTTTCCAGGGACAGTTCCAGATTTACAGAATCTGTCCTGGTTTCTCATTTGATCCTGGAATGTCCCATTTTTCCTTAGGACACCTGTATTTTCATCAGAGAACTGAGATTTCTGACCCCCGAGCCATCTGAAGGCAGCCCTGTACAGGGAAGGGTTTTAAAAAAAATGTTTTATTATTTTTTATATATGTTGGAAGCCGCCCAGAGTGGCTGGGGCAACCCAGTCAGATGGGTGGGGTATAAATAGTAAAATTATTATTATTATTAAGGAATATGGTGTCCCATTTTTCACTGGAGAAATGTTGGAGGGTATCTTATTGAGGTCACAGGGACCACACTTACAGATGCATTTCCTTGTCCTTTTCCTTATCACGAAAAGACTGGTTCTGGCAGGGAGGTGAGTTTGTCAAGCACACCACCAACAATACGTGCACAACCTGGCTTGGCCTGTATGTAGCCGGATGACACCCCAAAATAGTGACAGTCTGGAAATGCCCTAACTTGGCTCCTCCTTTCCTCCCTGCAGGCACCAGGGAGTACCCTGAGGAAGAGAGTGTCTATGAGCCCTTTGATGCTGTGGCCAGTTTGGAGGGCAAGCAAGCAGCACAGGTGGCTGCGCCATGGCACCCAGGTATGTCTGGTCTGAGCTTCAGGGGGATACTAGGGGGGTCTGGAGTTCACCCACAAGTCACTGCGTATTGCCCTTGGGCTGTTTTTTAGGCAGTGGGCTGGGGGGCCAGGAAGTCCCATTGGCAGTGGAGAATATTGGAGCCTCGTCACTAAGAAGGCCATGCAAAGGACCTACATCTTTATTTGGGGAAGAAAAGATAAGAAAATGGAGAGTGATTTGTGTAAAGTAGGAAATGGGAAGCCTTCCATATTGTGCAAGGCAGTGACGGCCAAACTTGGCCCTCCAGCTGTTTTGGGACAACAATTCCCATCATCCCTGACCACTGGTCCTGTTAGCTAGGGATGATGGGAGTTGTAGTCCCAAAACAGCTGGAGGGCCAAGTTTGGCCATCACTGGTGTAGGGAGATGATTTCTTGAGCCTGGTGTTCATTTCCCTCAATTCGTCCCCCAACCTCGCCTTGCAGGGGCTCAAGGGTCTTGTGGTTTGTATTTTACAATGAACCCCCATGTTCTAGACTCCCCCCATTGTTAAATTGTATTTTGGGGGACTTCCTTTTTAGTTTGCTTACTATTGCCTTTTTTGTGTCGTAAAATATGATGATGATGATGAAGAAACAAATAAATAGCAAATGGTCCCAAAGCATTAAACTGGTAGAGTTAAGACTGCATTGCAGAGGGTTGGGTTAGAGGACCCTTTGAGCTTTCTCCCGATAGAAGTGCAGAGTGTTTGAGGACCGGGACATTCGCAGGGAAACCAAAATGCTTGTTTACAAAGCTATTGCACTACTAACCTTACTATATGCTTGTGAAACATGGACCACTTATAAACACCATCTCCAGCTCCTCAAAAGATTCCATCAACGGTGTCTCTGAAATATTTTACACGTACTTGGGAAGACAGGCAAACTAATGCCAGTATACTGGAAGAAGCAAAGATCACCAGTATCAAAGTGATGATTCTTTAACATCAACTTCGTTGGACTGGTCATGTTTTGAAGATGCCTGATGATTGTCTTCCAAAGCAACTACTCTATTCTGAACTTAAAAATGGAAAGAGTAATGTTGGTGGTCAACAAAAGAGGTTGAAAGACTCTCTTGAGGCAAATCTTTAAAAATGTAGTATAAACCCTGACACCTGGGAAACACTGGCCTGCGAGCGCTCCAGTTGGAGAACAGCCTTTACCAAAGGTGTCATGGGCTTTGAAGACACTCGAACTCAGGACGAAAGGGAGAAAAAACGTGCTAAGAGGAAGGCATGCTTGGCAAACCCTCACTGTGATCAACTCCTGCCTGGGAACCTATGCCCCCACAGTGGAAGGTCGTGTGGATCCAGAATTGGCCTCCTCAGTCACTTATGGGCTAACTGTTAAAACCTTGTTTATGGAAGACAATCTTACTTGGCTATGAGTGGCGATGAAGAAGAAGAAGAAGAAGAAGAAGAAGAAGAAGAAGAAGAAGAAGAAGAAGAAGAAGAAGAAGAAGAAGAAGAAATAATTCTGTGATACCACAGGGATTGGTGTGGCAGGTGAGGGGAACCTGGTGGCAGAGTGGAGGTGGAGAACAGGCAGAATGACACACTCTCTCTCTCTCTCTCTCTCTCTCTCTCTCTCTCTCTCCACTCTCCACTCTCCACTCTCCCCCTCTTTTCTCAGCCGGGAAGCCATCTTGGACACGCAAGGTGGTTTTAGTAGCTGTTGCTGCTCTGCTGGCTACCTCGGTGTTCCTGAACGTGCTGCTGCTTGCGGTGGGAATTATGCGCTGTAAGTGGTCTGCTGGGTCTCTAAAGGCTGCTGGGGTGCCAGGTAGGGGTTTGCCAGACTGATATACTTTCTTCCTGTATCATTCAGAAGGCATGCACGGGACCCTGGATGTCTGCCTGGATTCTCAGCTGGGGAAAAGGCATAGTTTAGTGGTCGGGCGCATGCTTTGCATGCCATAGGTTCCTCCCAGGTTTGGCCCCTCACACCACCTCCATGTGGGGCTGACAAAGATCCCTGCCTGAAACCCCAAAAGCTGCTGCCAGACAGTGTAGACAATACCGAGGTATTCTGTCAGTGGTCTAAGCCAGTGTTTCCCAACCTTGTGCCTCCAGCTGTTTTTGGACTACAATTCCCATCATCCCTTGCCACTGGTCTTGCTAGTCAGGGATGATGGGAGTTGTAGTTCAAAAACAGCTGGAGGCACAAGGTTGGGAAACACTGGTCTAAGCCAGTGGTTCCCAACCTTTTTTTGGCCATGCCCCACCTAAGCATCTCTAAAATCCTGATGCCCCCACCACCGTGACATATAATTCTTATTATTCAAAAAGTGAACTCCTGTTCACGTGGAGGAAGCCGAAAAGGTCATTAACTTGATCTAAACAAGCTTCCAAATTGTCCCCCTTAAAAATCAAATTGCCCCCCTGTGGGGCGTGTGCCCCATGTTGGGAACCATGGGTCTAAGCTCAGTATACAGCAGCTTCCTCTGCTCCTCAAGGTGGAGCTTCATTCAAAGTGCATTATAGTCAATTGCACAGCATTGACGTGCATTGAAGCAGTGTGTGTGTGAGAGAGAGAGAGAGTGAGGAAGAGTTTAGGGAGAGTTAACTCTATGCAACAATTTTCCTGGAATACACTGATTTAAAAAAACCAGCAACCAAGAAAGGGGGCACTAAAATGGTACAAAAAATGATGGTTGACATTTTCAGAGGTAAGTTCCACATGGTCAATTGGTCGATGAGGCTTGGTGAGTACCACGCGCCCTTTTCAAGCGCCAGTGGTAGGATATCACTTTTAGGTAACGCCAGTAAGACTGTGACACACGCACCCCAGGGCCTTCTAAGTTTCTTTTTCACCAGTTGCTACTGTGAAGGTAGCCTCTGGCACTGATCCTTCAGCCAGCCTGTAATGCTAATAAATAATAATAATAAATACCGTATTTTTCGCCCTATAGGACGCACTTTTTCCCCTCCAAAAATGAAGGGGAAATGTGTGTGCATCCTAAGGGGCGAATGCAGGCTTTCGCTGAAGCCTGGAGAGCGAGAGGCATCGGTGCGCACCGACACCTCTCGCTCTCCAGGCTCCAGGAAGCTATCCGCAAGCCTTGCACGCCCAGGGGGGAGTTCCCCCAGGCGTGCAAGGCTTGCAGACGGGAGCCTGCAGCGCGGAGCACGGGTCGCCCTCCGGAGGACGCCCCGTGCTTCGCGCAGGTGTCGGCAAGCCTTGCGCACCCGGGAGATCTCCCCCCTGGCGCGCAAGGCTTGCGGGCGGCAACCTGCAGCGCGGAGCACGGGGCGCCCTTCAGAGGACGCCCTGTGCTTCGCGCAGGTGTCCACAAGCCTTGCGCACCCGTGGGAACTCCCCCCGGGCGTGCACGGCTTGCGGGCGGCAGCAGGCAGCGCGGAGCACGGGGCGCCCTCTGTAGGACGCCCCGTGCTCGCGCAGGTGTCCGCAAGCCTTGCGCACCCGGGGGAACTCCCCCCGGGCGTGCACGGCTTGCGGGCGGCAGCCGGCAGTGCGGAGCACGGGGCGCCCTCCGTAGGATGCCCCGTGCTTCATGCAGGTGTCGGCAAGCCTTGCGCGCCCAGGGGAACTCCCCCCGGGCACGCAAGGCTTGCGGGCGGCAGCCTGCAGTGCGGAGCACGGGGCGCACTCCGGAGGACGCCCCGTGCTTCGTGCAGGTGTCCGCAGCCTGCCGCCCCGCGCGAGGGGCGCCCTGAAGCAGACCGCCCCTCGCGCCGGGCAGACATCGGCCAGCCCCACAAGCTCGGGGACAGCGGGGAGGCGCAGCGCCACCATCCCACTGTTCCCCGACCTGGTTTTGGGGGGGAAATAAAGGGGGGAAATTTCCTTTATTTCCCCCCCAAAAAAATTGGTGCGTCCTATGGGATGGAGCGTCCTATGGGACGAAAAATACGGTACCCTGCCCATCTGGCTGTGTTTCATAAGCCACTCTGGGCGGCTCCCAACAGAATACAGTGGTATCTCTGGTTATGTACTTAATTCATTATGGAGGTCCATTCTTAACCTGAAACCATTCTTAACCTGAAGTACCACTTTAGCTTATGGGGCCTCCTGCTGCTGCCACTATGCCGCCGCCACACGATTTCTCTTCTCATCCTGAGATAAAATTCTTAACCCGAGGTACTACTTCCAGGTTAGTGGAGGTGTAACCCGAAGTGTTTGTAACCCGAGGTGTTTGTAACCCGAGGTACCACTGTATTAAAAACACAATAAAACACCAAACATTTAAAACTTCCCTAAACAGGGCTGCCTTCAGATGCCTTCTAAAAGTCAGAGAGTTGGTTATTTCCTTGACATCTGATGGGAGGGCGTTCCACAGGGCGGGCACCACTACCGAGAAGGCCCTCTGCCTGGTTCCCTGTAACCTCACTTTTCGCAGTGAGGGAACCGCCAGAAGACCCTTGGAGCTGGACCTCAGGGGGTGGAGATGCTTCTTCAGGTATACTGGGGCCGAGGCCGTTTAGGGCTTTAAAGGTCAGCACCAACTTCTTCTTGTTGGCTCCCTGCACAGATTCTAAGATGTCTGCTGCTTTGGAGCAAGTGCGTGCTGAGAACAGGAAGCTCCAAGAGGCAGGTGAGTGTCTGTGGGAGTTGTGGCGGACCTTGTGGAGGAGCTCAAGGCTGGAAGGTGGTGCTCAGCTCCACATTTCAGGCTAGGCACACGAGTGCAGGTTTTCTGGAGAGCAGAATAAAAGTTCTGTCTTGGTACTTCCCGAAAGCTCTGCAGAACAGTGATGCGCTTGGCTGTGAAATATCTTTTACTTCTCGTTCGAAAACGAGATACTTGCTGATAGCCAGCCTAGGTGGCTGACTGGAACCAGAGCCAGCCCACCCATGAGGCAGGGTGAAGCAGCTGCCTCAGGCGGCAGAAGTGGTGATGCAGGCAGGGCGGCAGAAGGCACCTCAGGTGGCAAAATGGGCTGGGCTGCCCCTGACTGGAACCAACAGGGGACCACTAATAAGCAAGAGGGAGGAAGATGGGCTTGCTGAGGAGAATCCAGAAGTATGCAGATGTTTAAAGTGTCAAAATGGGTGGGAAATAAAAGAATCCAGGGAGGACCAAATAAATCTGTAAAGAATTATCTCTGCAATTCTCAGGTGCAGCGGGGAAGTCTATCCCATCATGAGTGCTGAAGTAAGAGTCATCCGTCAGCCCAGTCAGCTTCTGGAAAGGGAAGGGTGCCATTTTGTCATTTGCCTCAGTCGGCAAAATGTTTTGGGCCAGCCCTATTTACAAAACATTGTGTTTCTCAATTAATTGACCAATTGTCTCAGTTAATATTAAATGGAAATTAGTCTCTTCAATCTGACAGAGCTGCTTTTTACTGTCTCTGTCAGAAGCTCCATGTTCCAAAACACCCCTCATGGTTGTTCCATGTTTCTAAAGGTTGTTGTTGTTTAGTCGTTTAGTCGTGTCCGACTCTTCATGACCCCATGGACCAGAGCACGCCAGGCACTCCTGTCTTCCACTGCCTCCCGCAGTTTGGTCAGGCTCATGTTTGTAGCTTCGAGAACACTATCCAACCATCTCATCCTCTGTCGTCCCCTTCTCCTTGTGCCCTCCATCTTTCCCAACATCAGGGTCTTTTCCAGGGAGCCTTCTCTTCTCATGAGGTGGCCAAAGTATTGGAGCCTCAACTTCACGATCTGTCCTTCCAGTGAGCACTCAGGTCTGATTTCCTTAAGAATGGATGCGTTTGATCTTCTTGCAGTCCATGGGACTCTCAAGAGTCTCCTCCAGCACCATAATTCAAAAGCATCAATTCTTCTAAAGGTACCCCTGCCCATCAGGGCCAGTCGTGACCGACTCTAGGGTTGCGCGCTCATCTTGCTCAAGAGGCCGGGAGCCGGCGCCGTCCGAAGACACTTCCGGGTCACGTGGCCAGCGTGACTAAGCTGCATCTGGCGAGCCAGCACCAGTGCCGCACACGGAAACACCATTTACCTTCCTGCTAGAAAGCGGTCCCTATTTATCTACTTGCACTTAGGGGTGCTTTCGAACTGCTAGGTAGGCAGGAGCTGGGACCAAATGATGGGAACTCACCCCGCCGCGGGGATTCGAACCGCCGACCTTTCGATCGGCAGGTCCTAGGCTCTGTGGTTTAACCCACAGCGCCGCCCGCGTCCCTCCATGTTTCTAGATATTAGAATTAGCGGGACTTTTCCTTCTGCCTGCTGGTGAGAGCTTCAGATCTCATGAGCTCCTTCAAACCAAACTATGATGACCTCCAGCTCAGTTTTGGAGCAGTTCAAGAACCCTGACGGCTAGACCAGATTATCCATAGATGTATCTGGGACTGCTTTATTCAAATTCTAGACTAGATGCTCAGATCAGACATGGACAAGAGTCTAAGCTCTATTATTACAGTAGGTTTCTATTCCACATTCACTTGCAGTGAAGATGTACTCACTAAATATTGTTTTAGTGGCAAGCACATGGCTATTTTGCCAGAACCAAAAGCCTCTAGAGTAATTGACAATGAAATGTATGTCTCCTTACAGCCTCCCCATCTATCTCATCCTTCTCACTCTGCAGATCTATTGTTCTTTCCAAGGACTTCGTGCTTACATTCATTTCCCCCAGCTGGGAGTAGGGGGAAGAGGCAGCTCCCTTTGCAAAGCCATCTTGGACATTCCCTAGTCACTGGGGACCATTTGCCTGCAAAAAAGAGAATATCTTAACAGGGCATGTCATTTTAGGGGGTGAAACTTAATTTTTGCAAATTTTGTCAGCGAGGGGGTGTTAAAAACATGTTTTTGGGTGCGAGGAAATCAAATCTGCTATTATTTTTTTGCCAGGACAACATTTAGCTTACCAAGTCTACGTCTGAATAAGAATCAAATAAACTGCTTTGAGAAAACCAAATAATTTAAATTTTTACCTTCTGAAAGTGTCAGGTAATATAAAATATGTATAATATATTAAAAAAACTAATATAAATATATAATGTAACTGCAAGTACTTGGCAATCATTTTTAATGATTTCTATGTGATTTTACACACATAAGTTATATCACTAAGTTATATCAATTTAACCAAAATATCTTTTGGATTCCTGAGTCATGTTACAACTTTTTATCACCCCTCATTTTTTGGAATTGGAAAGTTGACAAATTTGAAATGCCCTGCTTCCCTGGGCTAGGATAGGATAATTTCCAACAGTCCTATAAAAAATGGAGTGACCAGCTCAGGAAAACCCACTCCTACAGTCACAGAATCACAGGTATGGTAAGGACCCCAAGACATAATCCAGCCCCAAGCCCTAACTCAGAATATTGCTAAGGAATATAGCAACATCTGAGCTGGCAGTTAGTCCCAAACTTGTTAGTTAGGTGCAAGATTAATAGCGCCAATAACATCTCACTGGAAATCCACAAAATCTCCAAGAATCATACACTGAGTTAGAATGTTCTGGAAGATAGTTTCCCACAAAATTAACACATTTTGTCATGCCCTCCTCAAACCAATACATATACGGGAAAAGGGGCTCCCTTTGGTTTTTGGAACACATTTCGAAGATAAAATTAAGCCCCGTATTTGTTTCTCATCGTTACTCTCTGCCTACTAAAAATATTATAATATATTGTCATTATTTTTGTCAAAATGTCTATATTGTGTATTGGCCTTGCCATACTTAAAAAGCATACGTTTAATGCTAATTTAAAATGGCTAAATTGAAATTGGAATGTTGAGTGAATTCTGAACATTGGCAGATGCTGTTCTAAATAGTCTTCACTGGCTACAGGGCCGTCGGTGGTGCTGTGGTCTAAACCACTGAGCCTCTTGGGCCTGCCAATCAGAAGGTCAGCAGTTCGAATCCCCACAAACGGTGTGAGCTCCCATTGCTGTCCCAGCTCCTGCTAACCTAGCAGTTTGAAAGCACGCCAGTGCAAGTAGATAAATAGGTACTGCTGTGGCGGGAAAGTAAATGGCTTTTCCGTGCGCTCTGGCTTCCGTCAATCTGTCCCGTTGTGCCAGAAGCGGTTTAGTCCTGCTGGCCACATGACCTGACAAGCTGTTTGTGGACAAACGCTGGCTCCCTCGGCCTGAAAACAAGATGAGCGCCGCAATCCCATAATGGCCTTGGACTGGACTCAACCATCCGGGGGTCCTTTTTCCTTTACCTTTTTACTGGCTATCGATGCCTAGCCTGGACTGTTGCTTTGTCTTGCACTTGATATACAGTGGACGCTCGGTTGCGAACGTGATCCGTGTGGGATGCACGTTCGCAACCCGCGTCTGCACATGCGTGGGTTGCGATTTGGCGCTTCTGAGCATGTGCAAAGCTCAATTTAGCTCTTCTGTGCATGCACGACCGCCGAAAACCAGAAGTAACCTGTTGCGGTACTTCCGGGTTTCGGCGGTCCGCATCCCGAAAAAACACAACCTGAAGTGGCTGTAACCCGAGGTATGACTGTACTTTACTGTCTTAGTCCTGTTCTCTGGTAAAAACTGCAGAGACCTGACTCCATTTGTTCTCTCGCTCTCAGTCCCTTTCCTCCTCTTGTCCATTCACTCCCTGCCTGCCTCTGGCTGCTGTCGTTCCTCCATGCTAACTCCATTCCCCTTGCCAGGCCACAGCTCCTTCTTGCTGTACAATGAGAACCGCAGTCATTGTGTGACGAGGAAGGAGCCCAGCTCTCTCACACAAGCGCCCTGTGACCCTAGGAATTGGCGGCAGCATTTTCGGTGGTTCTCCAGAGGCCTCCTCCTTCACATGGATTCACTGCTCTGCGTGGCAGCACCCAAGGCCAAAAGAAAGGAGACCGTCCGTCTGGAACCCTGCAATGGGACGAACCCGCTCCAGCGGTGGGAATGCCGCGATCACGATCTGCTGGCCCTGGAGGGCAAGGATCTGTATTTCAACTACGGCAACAGTCTTGACCGGGTGGTGATGCTGTTTGACGGCAACGGGCCCTGGAGTCGCTGGCTTACCTACGACACCCGCCAAAACATCTGCAGCAGTGAGTCCTGGCAGGGTACCTCCCCCTTTGAGCGCCCAAGGAGGAGGGCATGCCCTCTACCATTTCTCCAATGAAAATAGGGTAAAGGTAAAGGGACCCCTGACCATTAGGTCCAGTCGTGACCGACTCTGGGGTTGTGGCGCTCATCTCGCTTTACTGGCCGAGGGAGCCGGCGTACAGCTTCCGGGTCATGTGGCCAGCGTGACTAAGCCACTTCTGGCAAACCAGAGCAGCGCACGGAAACGCTGTTTACCTTCCCGCCAGAGCGGTACCTATTTATCTACTTGCACTTTGATGTGCTTTTGAACTGCTAGGTTGGCAGGAGCAGGGACCGAGCAATGGGAGCTCACCCCATCGCGGGGATTCAAACCGCCGACCTTCTGATCAGCAAGTCCTAGGCTCTGTGGTTTAACCCACAGCGCCACCCGTGTCCCCCAGTGAAAATAGGTGGGGGTCCCTTTACCTTTTTATTCTATACTAATAATAACCCTTCTAACTGGGTTGCCCCAGCCACTCTGGGTGGCTTCCAACATATATAAAAGCACAATGAAACATGAAACATGGGGGGGGGGGACTTCAGATGAAGTTACTTATCTCTTTGGCTCGGCGGTTGCATAACTCCATACCCTCCAATATTTCTCTGATGAAAATTGGGACATCCGAAGGGAAAGCAGGACATTCCGGGATCAAATCAGAAACTGGGACAGCTTCTGTAAATCCGGGACCGTCCCTGGAAAATAGGGACACTGAGAGGGTCTGAGGTGGGTGTCTTGGGGATGAAAGCCCGTGCCAAAGGGCACATTGTCAAAGGCGAAGAGAACAACTTGGCTATGGAATGCTAAGACCTGACACCTAAACGTGCTGTTTGTGTCCTTCCCGTCCCGAGACATGTACCCCGGCTTGTGTACTGCAACCATTTCTGTCTGCAGGCACTCTGGCTCTCAAAAAGCTCATCAAAGAAGGATGCTAAAACTCATCAGCATCTGTTTTGGGGTTGGCACGGCTCAGATGAACAGCTGCCCTGGACACAGAATTGACCTGCACCTCCATGGACAGCTATGAGTCCAAAATGTGCTTTAGGGGCACAGTTACCCCATTCAGGACCAGAGAGTTCCCCACACCTGCCTGCCCCCTGTCCCAAAACAGTACTTCTATCTTTTCAGGATTCAATCTCAATCTGTTAGCCGCCATCCGTCCTCCATCCACCTCCAGACACTCACACAGGACATTCACCACCTTCACTGGTTCTGATTTAAAAGAGAGGTAGAACTGGGTCTGTGTTATGAATGTGTTATAAACATGCACCACCAGATGGCGCTGTAGAGCACAAACCTTTTCTATGTGATTTTACATAGTATTTCCCCCCTTTGTTATAACGTTTTAATTTATGACTTGTTTTTTCCCCTGTGTGTAGATCCACCCTTGGTTTCCCTGCCTTCTGCCCCACCAGTCCAAAGGGCCCTAAGCACCACTGGGCATGGAGGGCACCCTGTAGCATGAGAGGGAAGAAAGGTAGGCAACCTAGTCAAACCGAGTCTTTCTTCTTCCCAGTTTCCCAGTGCCGGATTTACATATAAGCTAAACAAGCTATAGCTTAGGGCCCCACTCTATTGGGGGCCCAAAAAATTTTTTAAGGAAAAAAACCTGGATGTACATTTCCAAAATATAAGATAAAAAAACAAATAAAATAAAACCTACATACAACAACAGTGTTTTGTGTTGTGTAGGCTCCTATGTTGTAAGTAATGGGCCCTGCCTGCTAGCCTGCTCCCTAAAATATCACTGGTTTGCTCATTTCTATATACAGTATAGGGTGCCTACATTCTGCTATTTATAATATAGTTTGCACCATATATTTACACCTATTATTATTTCATGCTATGGCAAGTTTCTAGAGACTAGATTATGACTAGATTATGAGTAAATTGTGTTTCTAAAGGAACTTTTGTTATTGCCAAAATCATTTTAAGTTAGAGCTTAATCATTATTTCACTATTAATGTACTTCTTCTTAATTGTATTTCACTATTAATATACTTACGGGACACGGGTGGCGCTGTGGGTTAAACCACAGAGCCTAGGGCTTGCTGATCAGAAGGTCAGCCGCGTGAGCTCCCGTTGCCCGGTCCCTGTTCCTGCCCACCTAGCAGTTCAAAAGCACATCAAAGTGCAAGTAGATAAATAGGTACCACTCCGGCAGGAAGGTAAACGGAGTTTCCGTGCGCTGCTCTGGTTCGCCAGAAGCGGCTTAGTCATGCTGGACACATGACCCGGAAGCTATACGCCGGCTCCCTCGGCCAATAAAGCGAGATGAGCGCCGCAACCCCAGAGTCGGTCACGACTGGACCTAATGGTCAGGGGTCCCTTTACCTTTACTAAAATATACTTCTTAATTGTATTTCAGTTCAACAATTACTTTGATAAAATACATACTTTAAGTTGTTCTGTGCAAATGGCTTTAGATACCTATTAGCTCCCTAAATTACCATATAGCATATATTCAACACAAAAAACAGCGACAATTTGTTGTTGACAAAGGGCAGCTGGACATATAAAGGGGCCCCATTACCTTCAGTAGCTTAGGGCCTCATCAAACCTAAATCCAGCCCTGGTCCTGCCACCAAGTTGATATTTCTGGCTCCTCAAGCAAACAGTCCTCTAACGATTGGGACTTGAAGTGGCCTGGTGTACTCCCTACACGGGCAGAGTGATATGGCGCTTGGTCATGGGCAGAAAAACAGGTTCTCAGGCTATTTCTGCCCCCCCCCCCAAGAAAAAAACAACACACACAATGATTTCACTTGATTAAACTATTTGACTTGTTGCTTTACTGAAACCTTAATAGTTTTGAGGAATCGTTGGGGTATCTGGTATGTGATGCTGTTTTGCTTGGGTTTTTGTAGCTCTTGGCAACAAAACGAGTCCAGTCGTGGAGATATGAAGAATTGTGGCCTGATGGGAAACATCTGGATCTGTGAGGGACAGCATCTGTTCAGTGAGGTGCAGTCGCCAACATTGCCATCCTGCCCCCAGCTTTTTCGGCACCACAAAAATCACTTCCCGGCTCACTTCATCTCCTGAATGAGGGGTGCTAAAAATTTGTAACATGACTTGGGAATTCAAAATATATTTGGGTAAAATTAATATCTTTTATTGTGCGTAAAATTGCACAGAAATCTTTAAAAACGATTGCCCAGTACTTGCAATTAAATTGATATTATTTCTATATATTATATATTGTTTTTATTGTTTCTTCTTATTTAGCATTACAGGACATTTTCAGAAGGTAAATTCTTTGGTTTTCTAAAACAGTTTATGTGCTTCTTCGCCAGCTGTAGACTTTACCAAGCTAAATGTTGTCCAGTCACAAAAATAAGATGATTTGAATTCCTCACACCCAAGAACATATTTTTAGGATTCCTCAGTGAAGAAATCTGCTAAAATTAAATTTCACCCCCCCCCTAAAATGACACACCCTATTCTCTCAGTCAAAACGGAATGCAAAGAAAACGAAAGTTTTCAGGCAAAACAAGTTCTGAAGCAGTCTGGGAAATGAATGTGAACTTGCTTATTTCACTGAAACATGCTCAGTGTGCTGTTATTGTCCTGTTTGTTCTTCTTCTACAATCTGCACATAGCACAGCTTTATTTTATTGGTATGAAGCTTCAGAAATTTCTGAATCTAGCGATTTGTAAAATGTTTCATTTTGCTTATTTGCATGTCACCATCATCTGTGGAAATTGTGCTTTAGGACAGATCCTGTCCCCCGACTCAGCTACACAGCTGCAAATAAATCGTTTTAAATGTGCTGTAAAGTGCAATATACAAATGTGACACTAGATGGCGATGGTGAGCTATACCAAATTCAATGTATTTTTCAAAATGTTTTTTGTAAAAGCATTTTCACAGCATTTTTTATATGTGTGTAGATTCGACTTGACATCTAATATAAAGGATCAAAGTCATTATTTTGTGAATGCAAGTACAGTTTTATTCCACATTTTGACTATCCGCACAATGAAGTGGTAGCGATGTGTATTCTACCACATCACGGTGTGTTTTTGTGTGTGTGTGTTTACTTTTTAATTGGGTTAAGAAAGGAACACTGGACTTCCCTATTAGAGAATTAAGGGTTTTGTGGTATGGAGGTTGGGTGGTTTTATATTTAGTTAAGCCAAGTGCTGGAATGGCGGGAAACGACTGTGGCGCCAAACAGGATCGAGGCCCCAAGACATGTCATACGCACGTGAATATCATATGCCTTCTCCCACACTGACGTAAACAAAAACAGCCAGACTTGTACATTCACAGATATTTAATTGTCCATAAGGACATACAAATATTTTTTTAAAAACGCCCACATCTTCCGTACCGCATTTCTTCATTAGGCTGGCTATGGCTTTGTGCTCCCAAGTTGTAGAACGTGGTCTCTTATCAGCTGAAAACTGCATCGCAAAGGCAGCATTAAGGGGAAACGATGGAAACCAAAAAGGATGTGGAAATAACCAACACAGGCGCACAGCATTCTGGGGATTGTGAAATGGAGTTCAGATTTCTCATCTCGATTATGGCCTGGCACCCTAAGGGTCTAAAAATCTATTGCAGGGGACACGTACCGCTGGCACGTATCTTCTGGCGTTATTTGGTCAAAGGAGCACATGAGCTGCTCTCACACCCCTCTGCAGTTCTGTGGCAGCTGCTGGCAAGGGAGGTGCCAACTGTATTGGCATCTCAGCAATTGAGGAGGCGGGCACAGGCTGGGGCTGCCTCAGTCACATGTAGTTAGGCCCTCTGAGACACACCTTGCCCCATAGCATGCTTGCCCCAGTTGAATGATAAAAGGTTTAACCAGGCCTATGGGGAGAGCGTCTTGGCCTAGCCCAATATGGCGGACTAAGATGAAGCGAGTGGCGGCCATTCTCCACTGGAGAACTTCCTCCTGCTATGAAAGGGAGGAACTAGCCAACCAGCCGGTGCCGCAAAGGACCGCCAGAAGCTGAGATGCTTCCGGAAAAGGTGTGTTCAGGTAGAGTCAGACTCAGACTACCTGTCACACAGGGGCACATCCCATGTTGAGGGGGCGGAATCATTGGAAAAGGACTTTAATATAATACTGCCAATATCGCCATGCCATTACAGAAGGCCTAAGGTGCAGCCACACTTGAAACACTGTGTAAAAAGTCCTGGTTGCTGTGCTTCAGAAAAGATATTGTAGAGCTGGGGGAAAGTTCAGGAAATGGCAACCAGAATGAGCAAAGCCTCCATGAGGCTGCAACTTGGGAGGAGGGTTGTATAAGATTGTGCATGGAGAAAATGGACGGGGGAGGGGTTTTTCTCCCTCTCTTGTAATACAGTCGTACCTTGGAAGTCAAACAGAATCCGTTCCAGAAGTCCGTTCGACTTCCAAAACGTTCGGAAACCGAAGCACGGTTTCTGATTGGCTGCAGGAAGCACCTGCAGCCAATCGGAAGCCACGCTGGACATTAGGGTTCCAAAGAATGTTCGCCAACTGGAACAATTACTTCTGGGTTTGCAGTGTTCGGGAGCCAAAACGTTTGACTTGAAAGGTGTTTGGGATCCAAGGTATGACTACACTAGGAGCTGGGGCTACCTAATGAAGCTGACAATTAAAAAATTCGGGACAGACCAAAGGAAGTCTAGTGAACAGCTAATCGTGTGGAGCTTGATGCCATAGGAGGTAGCGATGCCCACCCACCTTGGTGGTTTCCAAAGGATATTAGACAAATTAATGCAACATGAGGCTATCAATGGCTTCTATCCATGATGGCTACATTCTGGCTCCACCGCCAGAGGCAACAGGCCAGTTGCTGGGAATCGCAGCCAGGGAGAGAGATGTTGTAACTCAGGTCTTCGTTGGCCACTGTGAGGGCAGGATGCTGACCTAAATGGGATAGTGGGCTGATCCTGCAAGGGCATGTTCTGATGCAAATGGGGGCAGGGTTATTTGTTTTTCTGGCAAGGTGGCACAATTCTTCTTTTCTCCCATCCCACTTGGCAGCAGGCTATTTCTGCATTTTAGCAGAAATTTAGCAGAGTCAGGGGCCAGGGTTTGTGTGCTAATGGTGCCATAGAAGGGTCTTAGCCCTGGCCTTTGGCAGCGGAGGGGGAATCTCAGCTGCACAGCAACACACAACGAGAGGGTGAGAGGAAGGATCACACTGAAGTCCCTGTCACAGGTGGCGCTGCAAGAATTTTCAGAGAAGGAACTGGAATCCCAGCACTTGCACTTTTAGTGTCTCCCAGGGCAGAGGAACCGACTGGGTTTGGGGTTTCCTGCCTTGCGCCCCCCCCCCAAGACTTGGGCATTTCATAGAGTTTAGCCTTTCACTTTCAGGTAGGGTTGCCATACATCTGGAATTTCCCGGAATACTGTAGCCGCAAAGCAATGTCCGGGTGGAAATCGGCTAAATGTCTTGGAAAATCTGGATGTATGGCAGCTGATGTCGGCAGTGTCGTTTTTGCTCAGAAATAGCTCAAAAGCATCCAATTTTGCAAATAAAAAAAGCTCAATAACTTTTCTGCCTGGATTTTCACTTTTTGAAATATGGCAACCCTACTTTCAGGCAGGAAGAAAGTGAAAATGAACTGCTCGCCCAGTTCCACAGTCAAAACAAAAGCTGCGCCATTTTAAAAACCGTAAATTAGAACTAGGGGAACACAGTTAGGCCTGGCCTCAGCATGCAGACCCCTTAAACCCACGGGTCAGCCTCGTCTCCCAGCAGCATAGCGTGATTTGCTGGTGCCTGGAGCAGGCTGGGGTGACCAGGGGGGTGGGGCATGGAGGGTGAATGGAGCCTGCTGCGCCAGCCTAGCCCTTGCCACCAATGCTGCCAGAGTGCCCCCCACCCCATCGGAGCCAAGCAGGGCTGCACTGCCTGCCCTCCTGCATAGTGGGGAGCCTGGCCAGCCAACGCGGCCCTGGGGCCATCTTGGGACTGCCAAGGGGCTATGGCCACCAAATGTGCAGCCCCCTCTTAAAAAATGCACCCAGGGCCATCGCCCTGGCAGCCTCCCCTTCCATACTATGCCCCTGCTCTCCCCTGCATTGATGCCTGCCTTTGCCCCCCACCCCCCACCCCAAACATATTTTCAGTGCTCCTTTCAGCACCAGGTGGCTTGGAGTTCTTGTTTTAATTTCCCAGAAAGCTCCAGTTTGATGCTCCTTCAGGGGCATTGTGGGAAATTGAAATGGAAGTTCTTGGCTGCCCAGACCACTGCCTCTGACAGATAAGCCCACCCACAAGAGGGCCTGGAGGACACTTTGCCAAGGGCATCCCTCAGACCTGAGCTCAGGCACAAACTCGCAGAGGAGTTTGCCTTTGGCAAGCAACAGCTTCACAAACTCGGCTCCCATCTATAATAAAGGGAGGTAATAATACTGACCCACCTTCGAGGGTTTGTTTGAAGTGCTCTGGATGATGAGGGAAATGTGCTACTTAAATACTACCGATTCAACGTTATCAGGCAAAGAAAACAACATCTTGGTCAGCTCCTCTCTTCCTCGAAACCGCCGACACGCAGGAACGCTTCCTTCCTGTCCCCGCACAATAAATTTCACGGTGGAAATTTAGGAGGTTGAAAGCGCTCTACAAACTGCACTCTGGCTACCAGAGTCACAGCAGTTAACAGTTAGCAGTTAACAGCCAGAGTCACAGCGAAAGCACCTCCCTTTGGGAAAAGACATACGAAAACAATACGAAAGGCGGACCACTTGGTTCGAAGTACCGTGATCCAAAAGAATACTGATATGGAGGCAGGATCAACCGCCTGAGCTTGACTTGGTCATAGCCTGGCTGTCCGAAGGGCCCGGCAGAGCCACACTCGGCCCTTCCTTAGGCCTCGCAATGTTCCGCCCCGAGAGAACGGCTCACAGGCAGACATTGATTTGCTTGGAAAGCTCTCGCTCAAGGTCCAAGATGAGGGCATCAAAGTCCTTCAGGTTGAGCCTCGCGCTGAAGGGAGCCTCAGGGTCTTCCACCAAGGCGAAGTCCCCTACAAAGACGGCTCGGTTGTGGTGTGGCAGAGTCACCTCTTCATTGTCCTCTTCGTTGTCGCTCTCACTGCCAGCCACCTCGTCATAGTCGGTGTCGCCGCCCGGCCTGGGCCCCACCGAAAACTGCTGCTCACACACACTCCAGTCCCCAGCGTAGCGGTTGCTAGGAGGGCTTTCCAGGCCTCGAGGGCGGCTCCGAGCCACGACAGTGGTCTGCAGCAGTGGCAGGTCCAAGGGAGGGCGGCAGTGGCGCTGGGGTGGCTTGATGGGCAGGGGGCACTCGCCCTCCTCTTCGGTTGCCCTGCGTGGGGCTGAAGGGAAAGGGAAAGCAAGTTATGAAAACCCAATGCATCTGGTTTACTTAGGCCTAAGGCACAGACCCTCCAAGTGTCCCTATTTTCCAGGGACAGTCTTGGATTTATAGAAGCCATTCCAGTTTCTTTTATTTTCGAAGAGCAAGTGTGGTGTAGTGCTTAAGAGCAGTGAACTCGTAAACTGGTGAACCGGGTTCGATTCCCCGCTCCTCCACATGCAGCTGCTGGGTGACCTTGGGCTAGTCACACTTCTCTAAAGTCTCTCAGCCTCACTCACCTCACAGAGTGTTTGTTGTGGGGGAGGAAGGGAAAGGAGAATGTTAGCCGCTTTGAGACTCCTTAGGGTAGTGATAAAGTGGGAAATCAAATCCAAACTATTATTATTATTATTATTATTATTATTATTATTAATTATTTCTCTTTGATTTCACAAATATAAATTTATAACCATACTAAATACACATCCATATAAAGAGATTACTCTGAATCTCAAGACCCCCCCCATGGGTCCTACTGTCAACATTTTCAACTGCATATTATTTCATAATCTATATTTTGTATCCATCCATATTGTCCATAGTATTTGTTACATTACAAGTGAGATTAAAATCCTGCTAATGTTTCAGAGTCGCTGGGGTAGCCCAGTCAGATGGGCGACATATAAACAATAACATTACAGTCGTACCTTGGAAGTCAAATGGAATCCGTTTGGCAAGTCCGTTCGACTTTCAAAACGTTCGGAAGCTCCTGCAGCCAATTGGAAGCCACGGAAGCCGTGCCGGACGTTCGACTTCCGAAATTTGTTCGAAAACCAGAACACTCACTTCTGGGTTTCGATTGTTCGGGAGCCGATTTCTTCAGGAGCCGAGGCGTTTGAGATCCAAGGTATGACTGTATTGTTATTATTAAATTATTATTACTTCAGGGCGAGCGCTGGCAGGTGCCGGGCCCTCCATGTCACTGAAACCCAGAGCACCGAATGCCTCCAACCAGCCAGCCCCTTCCTGGGCACCTGCCCTCTCTTGCCCACTGGCTTCCCCACTTGGCACTCACCTGGCCAGGACTGCAGCAGGTAATGCAACACTTCGATGTGGTGCTTGAAGTCCATGGTGCTGGCAATGGTGCGGTGGTGGTGGCTGGGGCCACAGGGGCCCGGCCCCGCTGCTCCCTGGCTCAGCAACACAGGACCAAAACACACAGCCAGGTTCTGGGCGTTCATGCGGTTGAAGGCATGGAAAGCAGCAACCTGGCTGAGGTGGTCCAACAGCATTGTCAGGGTGGCCTAGAAAATGGAAGAAGAGAAAATTGCCAAAATGTATAGAAAAAGTTCTGATAAGTGCTGGAAGTGCAAAGTGAAAGAAGGCACGTTTTACCATATGTGGTGGAACTGTAAAGTACCGTATTTTTCGCTCTATAAGATGCACCCGACCGTAAGACGCACCTAGTTTTAGAAGGGGAGAAAAAGAAAAAAAAATATTCTCTCCCTCTCTGTGCAGCGCCCTTTCAGTGAAGCGGCATGAGAAACCCTTCCATTTCTTCTCCTGCTTTGTTGAAGGTGTGCACCGATCCCTCTTGCTCTCCTGGCTTCAGGGATAGCCGCCTGAAGCCTCCGGAGCGCAGCGGGAGTGCGCTCCAGAGGCTTCGCGTTGCTGTCGCTGAAGCCATGGAGCCTGCACTCGCTCCATAAGACGCACACACATTTCCCCTCACTTTTTAGGAGGGGAAAAGTGTGTCTTATAGAGCGAAAAATATGGTAGCCAAGAACTACTGGGAAATGGTTTACAACAAAATGAAAAAGATGTTTAAAATAACGTTTGTTAAAAGACCAGAAGCTTTTTTGTTAGGCATTACAGGACAGGCCTTGCCAAAAGAGCGGAAGAATCTATTCCTGTATGCTACAACAGCAGCTAGGATTTCACTAGAACAAAAATGAAAGGATGATAGGATACCAACGAAAGAAGAATGGCAAGCAAAACTTATGGACTAGGCCGAAATCAGAGATATGAACAATAAAGACTTTTAAAAAGAATGGGAACTGTTTATGATGTACTTACAGAAATATTGCAAAGAAGTGGACTCACTAGCAGGCTTTGAGTAAACATTTACAATTAAGGGGGAAAGTGTATAAGGAGCAAAAGTTGGGAAAACAACAAAAGATGCAATCGGGAAAGATATGGTATAAAAATGATAAAAATATAAGAACAATTAGTAGAAAGATTTTAAAATCAAAGTAAACCAAATAAGCAGAAGTAGCCAATATTTAAAGAACCAGAAGAGGAGGTTGGGGGAAGTCAAGGGAGCTGTGGGGGGAGATTTGATTTTATGAATTTCTGATTGTGTTTATGATGATTCTGTTGAATATAAAACTGTAAAACCCAATAAAACTTATTTTTAAAAAAGAAAATGGAAGAAGAGGCAGCTTGCTTCAGATCAACCTCATAGACTCTGATCTGAGGCCGATACCCAGGGAATGATCTTAAATTGGGAGGAGGTTGGGGAAAGGGGAAGGGAGGTCCTGAAACTGCAGGGATACCATGTGGAGAAGCTCCCTCACCTGAGATATATGGTTATCCCTCTCCTTGGTACTGTTCAGGTGAGCCCTGAAGTCAAGATGGCTTTTTGTGAAGGGTTCTGCAAGGGGCAGTTGCCTGTCTCTTTTTCAGCTGGGATGGTTTTAGAGAAGCAAGGTACAGTGGTACCTTGGTTCTCAAACACCGAAAACCCAGAAGTGTTCTGGTTTTTGAACGTCTTTTGGAAGCCGAACGTCCGATGCGGTTGTCGGCTATTGTTTCTGGGGCACCTGCACCAATCAGAAGCTGCGTCCTGGTTTTCAAACATTTCTGAAGTCAAACAGGCTTCCGGAACAGATTAAGTTTGGCGCTTTTGTTTTTGCTATTTATTTTGTATTTTTGAGTCTTTTTCGGTTAATTTGTTTTGATGGATCAATGGTCTCGTTAGATAGTAGAATTCATGTTAAATTGCTGTTTTAGGGGTTGCTTTTAAAAGTCTGGAATGGATTAATCCGTTTTGCATCACTTTCTATGGGAAAGCGCACCTTGGTTTTGGAACGCTTTGGTTTTGGAACAGACTTCCATAATGGATTAAGTTTGAGAACCATATATAGAAAGATCTCCAATATTTGATGTTCGTCAGAATGGCACTTGCTGCTGCAGGAAGATAACTGTTTTGAATGGAATGGTTCATGCATTTATTAAACGAACAACAAGGACACAGTCCTGGCGCTCCGATCCTTGGAACCTGGTACCCATTTGCCCATCATGCACAAATCTTTTGAGTTTATGCTACTTGCTTAGCCAGAATGCCAATGGCTTCCCATTGGAATTCCAAATCACCTCCTTCCCAAAAGTAGGGGACGTTGCACTGTCAGGACACTTGACACAAAAACAGAGAGTCCTTAACGGACCACTTTTATTCGACTAGGTATACATTTTTCTACAATGTTAACTCATCTGCATAGCCCACTAAACCCCCTGCTCCACAATAAATATGTGATGAGGCTTTAGCGAGACCTAATTTGGCTCACCTTTTCCTTCTTATATATGATAAATGTATGTGGAACTGCACTCTCAGTGGTCTCCGTGTTTTCCCCTCCCCTCTGTATTCTCATTTTATTTTTCTATTTGCATTTTTTTACATTCATTACTCTTATTACATTTTGCATGTGCTCATGTCAATAACCATTCTGTATAAAAAATGACGACAATAATAATGATGATGATGATGATGATGCTTTTTTTCAAAACAACAACAGTGACAACAACAGGTAAAGACCTGGGAGGAATTTGATGGCCCGCTTCTGATGGGAAGGAAATCATGTTTCCTCCAATGGGGAGTCCAAAACTCCTTCAAGGGCCACATTGTGGTCAGCCTGTTGAGGCTACTACACTACTGGGTATACTGGGATGCAGGTGGCACTGTGCTCTAAACCACTGAGCCTCTTGGGCTTGTCGATCGGAAGGTCGGCGGTTCGAATCCCCGCAACAGGGTGAGCTCCCTTTGCTCGGTCCCTGCTCCTGCCAACATAGCAGTTTGAAAGCATGCCAGTGCAAGTAGATAAATAGGTATAGCTGTGGTGGGAAGGTAAACAGCATTTCTATGCTCTCTGGTTTCTGTCATGGTGTCCCATTGCGCCAGAAGCAGTTTAGTCCTGCTGGCCACATGACCCAGAAAGCTGTCTGTGGACGAACGCCGGCTCCCTCGGCCTGAAAGCGAGATGAGAGCCACAACCCCACAGTCGCCTTTGACTGGACTTAACCGTCCAGGGGTCCTTTACCTTTACTTTTTTTTTTTACTACTGGGTGTGTCACCCTTGGCACAAGCAGAGAGGCCTAGGCTCAGAAGAGCTGCCATCCTGGGGGGTCCTCACCTTCTCGGCCTCTGGCAGGCAATCCAGGAGTGCTGTCGTTGTCGCCTCTTTCGCCTCCTGCCCAGCCGCCCGATTGGACATGGCTTCCAGGACCACTTGGTACAGTGGGTCAGTGATGAGAGGTGTGGGGAGCTCACGCAAGTAATCTTTCAGGATTCCTAGGGGGGGGACAAGTGGGGAGGAGGAAAGGAGAAAATACCTCAGTCCTTTTAACCATCACCGCGGGTTCCCTCCCATACTCAGTCTTTACTAGAGAGGGCTCCTGTCATCATGGTGCTGAGAGAGTAGTTCTTGCCACGCCTTAAACTGCCCTATCCCATCATAAGGGACATTTTCAGGCAAAAGCTTCCTTCACAGAGGGAGGACTGTGAGGGTGATGGAGGCAGGAGGGCTGGAAAGGGGCCAGGCCAGATGGTACATAACACCGGTTAAGTTAGCAAAAATGTTCAAAACATGTAATAAGTGTTGGAAATGTAAAGATAAAGGATCTTTTTTCCATATGTGGTGGGAATGTAAGAAGGTAAAGGGTTTCTGGGAAATGATATATAATGAGTTGAAGAAGATGTTTAAATACATATTTGTAAAGAAACCAGAAGCCTTTTTGTTAGGAATAACTGGAAGAGAGATAAATAGAAGGGATTACAAACTTTTCCAATACGCAGTAACAGCGGCAAGAATATTAATGGCCCAAAAATGGAAACAAGAGGAGTTACCGACCCTTGAAGAGTGGAGAATGAAACTTATGGACTATGCAGAACTGGATAAATTGACTGGGAAGATTAGATATCAACGGGATCACAAGTTCATCGAGGACTGGGGAAAGTTTACAGATTATCTGAAAAGCATATGTGACGAACAGATAACGCTAGTGGGATTTAAAGAGGCTTTGTGAAAGTTAAAGATGTATTGTAAAAAAGAAATAGAACTGAAAGGATAATACTAAATGGCAATATTAAATTTAGAGAATGCATAAAAATAGAAAATATGGATGATTGGTGGAGAAGTTGGTGGAAGTCCAAAAAGTTGAAATTTGTGAATATTGTTTGGGATGGCGAATTTGTAAAAGGAAAAATTTAATATAAATTATTATTTAAAAAAAGAGGAAATGGGCCAGTCCAGACCCCTTTATTGCTACAGACCTACACAGCTGCTCTTCCAGACTGAAACAGAAGGATGATGCGGTTTTGATTTATTTTTATTAGAACTATTTTTATATATGCATTTCACTGAGTTTCTTTTTTAAAAAAGTTTTTTATTCAAAATTAAAATAAGACATATTATCCAAAAACATATCATCCTTGTTTCCCCCCCCCTTTTTCCTCCTTCCCCCCCCCTCCCACACACACCCCCCCCCCCCGTCTTCCCTCAGTTCCAGTCTTTGGTTTCGCTGAGACTGCTGTTTTCTGCATGTTACAAAGTTGTATAGATCCTCAAACTATTTAGCTGATTATTATCAATAAAAAGTTTGTGGATGTTTATTCAAAACCTGCCAAGGAGTGCAGTTCACTTTGTTGCGTCTTCAAATACTCTGTAAAGGGTTCCCATTCATCTTTAAAGTTCCTGGCCCTCTGCTCATAATCTCTCAATCTCTCAATCTCTCCCTGTGCTGGGGATATTTTTGCCCCATCTCTCACCTCACCATCTCTGGAGCTCCAGAAAGCGGAAGGAGAACCAAGGGGTGGAAATGGAAGGGTAGCGAAACCGTCGGAGAAACAGAAAAACTGTTGGAGAAACTGTCCAGAACTGTCAGGGTTGCTTGACACAGAGGGGCAGATGGCCACAGGAGGTGGATGGGCTCCCCTTTGCTCAAGGCATTTAAGGCCACCAGTCAGGGATGACGTAGTTGCATCCTGCACTTCGGGGCTGGGCTGGATGACCTCTGAGTTCCTTTCCAACGCCTATGATTTGGAGCTTGCCTCTCCATGCCCCTTCCCATGATCCTCACAATTGGCAGATTCTGCCTTCTCAGAAAAGCCCCGCCAGCAGGCCACTTCTCCAACATCACATGCACACAGCCCTGAGCACTTGAGGTTCGGTCAGAAGTATTAAGGGCCGCAGAGGACTGTGATGCCCTGGAGGACTCCCTCATTGTCCCTTCAAAAGCACCTGCCCCTCAGAAGTCAAAAGGCATGCAAATAGGGAGCAAGGCAATTTTGTGGATAAAGGACCAGTATTGACTTTGGAAGCAGTATAAAACCAGGAGTGCCTGTCAGTATCTCCAGCCAGAAGCAGACAGGAAGCACAGCTGCATAGATATGTCTCTACCTGTCCCCAAAGCCAGAGTTTGGTTTCTGCAGGGCCCACAGGGAAGAGTACGAAGCTGGGGGTCAAGGGCACTGACCTGTAACGACATTGATGTCTGGATAGAGGTCCTCTGAGAGAACCACGGCAGTGCTGTCCCGCTCAAAAGCATCACGCAACTCCTTTTTCACCGCCGCCGAGCCACACAAGCGATACAGGCCCACAACCTACAAGCAGGAGACAGCCGGTCACTTGGGCAAAAGGGCCCCCTCTCCAGAGGGCTGTTCCATAGGCCGGGTGACCTGACTGCAGTAAAACCTGGGAGAGAGGGAGGAGGTCTGGCCTGAAACCTGAGGCCCATTGGCTTAAGGCATTTCCCTGGCAGGTTCAGTAGTGCATTAGGGCATGCTGAGTTTTTCATCCTTCAAATTCCAAATGTGAGTGGTGCTAACAAGTTGTAACGTGACTTGGGAATCCAAAAGATATTTTGGTTAAATCAATTTAGTTTCATCTGGTCAACAAAATGTGTATCGAAGTACAGTCATACCTTGGATTTCGAACAGCTTAGTTCCTGAACATTTCGGCTCCTGAACGCTGCAAACCCAGAAGTGACTGTTCTGGCTTGTGAATTATTTTTGGAAGCCGAACTTCAGACAGGGCTTCCGCAGCTTCCGAATGGCTGCAGGAGCTTCCTGCAGCCAATCAAAAGCCACGCTTTGGTTTCCAAACGTTTTGGAAGTCGAACGGACTTCCGGAACAGATTCCGTTCGACTTCCAAGGTACGACTGTACACAGAAATCATTAAAATCGCCCAATGCTTGGAGATATATTTTATATTCATCATCAATCTTTATTACGGTCCAGAGACCCAACAAATTGTTACAAAGCAATACACAATTCAGACAGCCTATTTTATATTAGTATTAGTATTATTTATAAATCATACTGTATTTTACATTACCTGGCACAATCAAAATCCTTCGGTTTTCCAAGAGCAGTTTATCTGCTTCTTAATCAAATGTAGACCTACCAAGCTAAACGTTGTCCAATCACAAAAATAATAGCAGATTTGATTTCCTTACACCCAAAAACGTGTTTTTAAGACTCCTCACTGGCAAAAATTTGCAAAGATTAAGTTTCACTCCCTTAATAGCCCATGCTATGCCTTCTGGGAAGAGCCCAGGTTGAGTGGAGATGGGTGGATGGAGAGAAAGAGAGATAGAGAGAGTGCATTTACCTTTAATCCCCGCTTCTCAATCTGGGCAACACACTTCTGGATCAGCAATGGCACTTTGATGGCAGCCCCTTCCCTCTCCACCAGCTGGCTCAGCTTCACTCCAAAGACTTGGGGCTCCTGTGGGTTGCTGGCTGGATCCCACTGGTCTACCAAGGTGAGTTTGATGTAGAGGAGGCCCTGTGGCTCCAGCTGCATGGCAAGCTGTTGGCTCCTGCAACCTGGAAGGAGGGGCAGCCGAGAGAGATGCTGTGAGGATGGCCTGGTCCCTCAACTCCACCCTACACCCTTCACCTTGGCAAAGCCACACTATCAGGTCAGCTCCAGTGACGTCCATCTTTGTCAAGCGACAACCATGGAAGAGGCCTGTCCAGGCACTTCAGCACCTTGGACAGAAAACAAGGTCTGTGCTCACATCTGGATCTGTCCTTGCCCCCCCCTCCTGCCACAGAATCTGCCACCACTCCCCGCCTAGTCATGTTTGGCCCAAATGTGGAGCCAGGGGCGCCGACTTATAAAAAATATTGGGGGGGCCCATACCGGGGTCCTGGGGGAGGGAGAACGCGAGAAGCAGCGCGAGCCTCTCAGAGAACGCGAGACCCCGCGCAGCTGCTGCTCCTGCCTCAAGGCAGCGGGTTGGCCGGGTAGGCGTCGGTTCCTTGCTTGAGCAGGACCCCCGTGCCTGCCCGCCTCCCTCCAGGTAGACCGGGTAGGAACCTGTACCTTCGTATAGAAGCGCCAGGCGGCCGCAGGCAGGCAGGAAGGCAGCAGGCCAGGGTGCGTGGACGTCCCATGCCTGCCTGCCTGCCTGCCTTCTTCCAGGTAGACCGGGTAAGAACCTGGACCTTGGTATAGAAGGCAGGCTTGCAGGCAGGCAGGCGGCTGCTGCTGCTGTTCGGTCGGCGGCTCCTTTGCTTTGCTTGCTGCCGCCCAGGCCCCGGGAGCCACAGAGCCAGCGCCGCCTGAGGAGGAATATCCAGCCCATTCAGAGACGCTGCTGCTTCTCTCTCTCTCTCTCTCTCTCTCTCTCTCTCTTGTTGTTGTTCCGTTCGGATTCCCCCTCCCACCCGGCGGCTCCTCTGGCGCGTCCTGGCAGCAGCAGCGGCGGCGGCAGCAGCTCCTCCTGCAAAACACTTTTCCCTCTCCCTCGGTGTGTTTGTATTTGCGTGTCGAATTTTTGAGGGGGCTCGAGCCCCCTCAGGCCCCATGGAGTCGGCGCCTATGCGTGGAGCTTCTGTGATCCAGGCTATTCATTCCCTCCAGTCAGCAAGGGGATCTCAGCTCACTTACAGAGGCAACACATTACCTGGTCTGGCTTCACCAGTTCAAATCCACTCTTCCCCAAGCCCCAGAGCCAAGATGTCAGGCTTCGGGGAATCCTATCCCTCCCACAGTGGCAGCCAAGAAGCAGATAAACAAGAAGAGTTCTTACCAAGTACATTATTCAATATTCACAGAGAGAGACGAAGGAATGCAGTCTGTCTTAGAAGTCCCACCCCCTCCGTCTCCCCTATTCTAACGTCATCCCTGTACCAGCTGTTCTGAGCTTTCTGCCTCTGAGGTTTCTGTTATTTATACCAGCCCATCAGGCCAGGTTTCCTCAGCCACTCTGGGCGGCTCCCAACAGAATATTAAAAACGTGATAAAACATCAAACATTAAAGACTTCCCTAAACAGAAAGAACCATTGTGATGTAGTGGTTAGAATGCTAGACATGGAAGACCAGGGTTTGGACCCCCCCCAGCCGTGAAACTCACTGGGGGAACCTGGACCAGTCACTGCCTCCCAGTATGTTATCGTTAGATTTTCGTAAGGATTTGCTGAATTAACCATGTGAACTGGAATACAAAAAAGGGAGGTGTGAGGAGGTCAAGAAACAAGTAAATGAAATATAAGATATGAAAATACTGATTTGTTTTTAATTGTTTTTTCACTTTTTATGTATTTTGTATTTTTTTGTTGCATTTTTGTACCTTTTATTCTTTTTAATTTTACTTTTTCTTGTTAATTTGTTACTGGCTTCTTTTTAATTTTGTAATTCTTTTTTGTTTGTAAAATCTTAATAAATATCATATATATATATATATATATATATATATATATATATATATATATAGTTAGATTTTCGACTGATTTTTTTATTTTATTTTTTGGTAAGTTATTCGACATCCCTGGAGGAAAGTGTGATTATAAAGAATAACAACAACAACAACAACAATAATAAAGTCACTGCCTCTCTGCCTGACCTACCTCACAGGGTTGTTGTGGGAGTTAAATAAGGAGAGGGAAGAACCACACAAGCCACTTTGAGCTCCTTGGAGAAAAAAGGCTGGGTTATAAACTCAGTGGTGGCGGGTGGGAGAAGATAATAAATCACCTTGGAAAACATGGGGCAGAAGGAGGGAGCCGTGGCAGCAGACTCGGTTCTTGCCCGCCGCAGGGTCGCACGAGAAGACCACGACTTTGAGGAGCTGGGCGCCCTCAAGCTCCAGCTGGAAGGAATGGTTGAGACTGAGGAAGGCTGCTTGGCAAGGCAGCAGGGCCGTGCGGGCCTTGTTGACCGAGTCCACCTGCAGGACACAGAAGACCTCCTTCGCTTCAGCCTTGGGGGGCCTGAAGTCCTGCACCCCCAGAAGGTGGATGCTGACCAGGCCGGACAGGTGCTGTAGGCAGCCGGGCTGCTCGGCGAAGCTGTACGGTCGGAAGGACCCCCCTTCGAGACCCAGGCAGGCCTCAGGCTTCGCCAGGAGGTCTGGGGAGTCGCCGTCGCTCAGGTAGCCCCCTCTGCTGGCGGCCTTGGCCCGCGCCAGGGTCTGCAGGGAAGCCACGCTGCTGTCGAGGTGGTAGCGGCTGATGACGTTGCCCGACTCCTTGGGAGAGGGGCCTCCGTCCGGCTCTCTGGACCGGGAGCTGCGCAGGCTCAGCTTCCGCCTCAATTCCGGAAGCTTCTTCATCTTCATAGAGAGGCTGCGCACGGGGCCCGGGGACTTGGCTTTGGAGAGAGAGTGGCCCTTCTTGGGGGCACTGGGGCTCTGGGCTGCTGACACGGTGCCCGCAGCCCTCTCCTCAGGCTCCACACTAGCGACTGCCACTTTCCCTGCGGAGAGAAACTGTATAAGATAGGTCAAACCAAGTGCCACTCACCCAGTGGGTATCACCCCCGTGGCGGGGAAAAGAGTGGCAGCTGAGCTCTGGGGTTCTGTTCCGACTGGGGCTGGTGGAAGCCGTAGTCCAAGACCCCTGGAGGGCACAACGCGGGCAAAGTCTCCATTACAACGGCCCTGCAAATAAGAATATGCCAAAGCCAAACAAAACGCGCACTAGAGAACTCACAATTCAGCATCGCAGGACCATTTTCACAGGCAATGGTTATTATTGACAGGTGTATCAGCTGCTTCGCAATAAAGATTCATTCAAAGAAATGCACAAATACAGTGGTGCCTTGGTACTCAAACGCCTTGGTTCCCAAACGCCGAAAACCCAGAAGTAAGTGTTCTGGTTTTCGAACGTTTTTTGGAAGCTGAACGTCTGACGTGGCTGTTGGCTATTGTTTCCGGGGCACCTGCACCAACCAGAAGCTGCGCCTTGGTTTTCAAACATTTCGGAAGTCAAACGGACTACCGAAATGGATTAAGTTTGGCGCTTTTGTTTTTGCTATTTGTTTTGCGTTTTTGTTTTTGAGGCTTTTTCGGTTAATTTGTTTTTGTGACTGTGTAGAACCCAGTTCAGCTACAGATAGACAGACAGACAGACAGACAGACAGACAGACAGATAGATAGACAGATAGATAGATAGAAGCCCCCCATCCAAACAATAACTATCATCAGTGCAGGTAAGGGGAAAAAAATAATTTTAATTTTTATCATCTACAATACTGTCTTATTTCTTTTATAGTACAGTGGTACCTTGGGTTAAGTACTTAATTCGTTCTGGAGGTCCGTTCTTAACCTGAAACTGTTCTTAACCTGAAGCACCACTTTAGCTAATGGGGCCCCCTGCTGCTGCCGTGCCACCGGAGCACAATTTCTGTTCTCATCCTGAAGCAAAGTTCTTAACCCGAGGTACTATTTCTGGGTTAGTGGAGTCTGTAACCTGAAGCGTATTTAACCTGAAGAGTATGTAACCCGAGGTACCACTGTACAATACATTGCTTATTGCTTTCATTTTATGGATCAATGGTCTCATTAGACAGTAATATTCATGTTAAATTGCTCTTTTAGGGGTTGTTTTTAAAAGTCTGGAATGGATTAATCCATTTTGCATGACTTTCTATGGAACAGCGTGCCTTGGTTTTGGAAGGGTTTGGTTTTGGAACGGACTTCCGGAATGGATTAAGTTTGAGAACCAAGGTACCACTGTAATCCAAACCAGAGACTCCCAAACTTTTTTGAGCCACCGCCCCCTCCGATCCATAGACTCGTCCCCAGGGCCCCATCTGCTACCCCACAAGAAACATTATTCAGAAGAGATGTCTGCATGCACAATCCACTATGCAAGAAAGCAACACAATACAACAGCCATAACAAATTGCACATTTGTTCAAAATAGAATCAAAACGAATTAATTCAGCAGAACTGAAGGAACCGGACCCAGTGATACCAGCTTGTCAAAGTCTGATAGTCATTTACACCTCCAGTGCCCCCCCCCCCGCAATCCCCTTGCTTCTTAGTGCCCCCCAATTAACGCCCCCCCCTCCTCGCAGGAGGCAGTACCAGCCACTCTGTGAGCCACTGATCTCAACAGACAATAAAGCAGCCTATTAAAATCTGCTTTAGACTGAATTGGCCTGTAGTGCAATGGGTGCTGTAAGATGTGAACTGGCAGCTGCCAGGCTGGGACTTTGGGGAAGACGAGGGCAGAAGGGCAGCTCCCTGGCAATGAGACATCAAGCCGAAAGGAAGGCTGGGAAAGGGCCAGAGGGGCTGAGCAGCAAGGCTTTCCTGTTAAATCAGGGCAAGTGGTTCATCCATCTGAAGGCAGCCCTGTTTAGGGAAGCTTTTAATGTTTAATAGGTTATTGTATTTTAGTGTTCTGTTGAAAGCCGCCCAGAGTGGCTGGGGAAACCCAGCCAGATGGGCGGGGTATAAATAATAAATTATTATTATTATTATTATTATTATTATTATTATTATCCAAGAGCAGTTCCACGTCAAAACCCTGATGTGGGATACGCGCAACATCAGAGGAATGAAACTCACATGACGCCCCAAGGCGACCTGGATTGCTGCCCTGGGACAGTTTTGCCAGAGGGGCAGTTAATTTGGCCCTGATATTATTATTTTTTAATGTGTTTTTATTAAAGATTTTCTTAGTTTACAAAAGTACATGCAATCTCTCTCTCTCTCTCTCTCTCTCTCACACACACACACACACACACACTCTTTTTCTCCAAGCAACATTTTTTTACAGATCAGTTTCATTTGTTGAGACATTAGGAAGAAGAAGGGGAAAGGTGGGGGAGAGATGGGGGTGGTGGCGATGTTTCTATTATACTTAAGATATGTGGGGTTTTGTGTCATTAATTTGGTCCTGATGATGAGAAAGGAGAAATGCCATAAGAATGGGGCTGGGAGGCCATGGGGCCAGGAGAGGCGATGGGGGGGGGGAGAGGCGATGGGTGAAGCCCAGGGTGGATAAAAATCAATGATTTATTTATTTTTAAATGATTTTTTTATTTAAATAGGATTTTTAAAATGAAATGCTTTTGGAGGAAAAAATATTTCTAAAGATAGTTTTCTATTTAAGTTACATTATAGTCCAAAGGCTATTCATCAGGAAATAAGGATTTAAGTTTTTCAAGTGTGCTAAAACTCAGTCTGAGTTTCTTTTTTAAATAATTGTTTTACCACATCAGTTAACAAAAAAGGTAAAAGGTAAAAGACCCCTGGATGGTTAAGTCCAGTCAAAGGCGACTATGGGGTTGCAGCTTTCAGGCCAAGGGAGCCAGCGATTGTCCACAGACAGCTTTCCAGATCATGTGGCCAGCATGACTAAACCACTTCTGGTGCAATGCAACACTGTGACAGAAATCAGAGCACATGGAAACACCGTTTACCTTCCCCCCACAGCGGTACCTATTTATCTACTTGCACTGGCGTGCTTTCAAACTGCTAGGTTGGCAGAAGCTGGGATAGAGCAATGGGAGTTCACCCCGTTGTGAGGATTCGAACTGCCAACCTTCTGATCAGCAAGAGGCTCAGTGGGTTAAACCACAGCGCCAAATTATTGTTTTCCTCCTTCCAAATAAGTGCAGCAGAAAAGTTGTCTAAATTTAAACAGTTAGCTTATTAAACCTCACAATAATTTCATAATGATCTCTCTATGTATTTCTAATAGTATAACCAAATCAGAAATTTTTGCTATAACTGTAAAAACTACTCTGAAAATTTATTATTCCAAAAATGAAATCTTCATCTGGTTGTAAATATTAAGATTATACCAGCAAGAATGAGTCTTTCTGTAAAAAAATATAAAAATTAATCAAGTCTTTACTGACTCGTGATTTAAATCAATTTGATTTAAATCAAATCCACCCTGGTGGAGCACCTGCAGGGAGGCAGGGGAAAGGGGAAAATATGGAGAAATGATGCTGTAAACCAGGAAGAGGGAACCTGTGGTCTTCCACAGGTTAAAGGTAAAAGTAAAGGGACCCCTGACCATTAGGTCCAGTTGTGACCGACTCTGGGGTTGTGGCGCTCATCTCGCTTTATTGGCCGAGGGAGCCGGCGTACAGCTTCTGGGTCTTGTGGTCAGCATGACTAAGCCGCTTCTGGCGAACCAGAGCAGCGCACGGAAACACCGTTTACTTTCCCGCCAGAGCGGTACCTATTTATCTACTTGCACTTTGATGTGCTTTCAAACTGCTGGATTGGCAGGAGCAGGGACTGAACAACGGGAGCTCACCCCGTCACGGGGATTCGAACCGCTGACCTTCTGATCAGCAAGTCCTAGGCTCAGTGGTTTAACCCACAGTGCCACCCGCGTCCCCTTCCACAGGTTGCTAGACTACAACTCCCATCATCCCTGACCATCGGCCAATGCTTGCAGGCTCCGACGGGGGCTGGAATCTGACAACATCTGGCCACAGCTCTCCCACCCCTATGGTAAAAACTTGGGGATCGTCTTAGAAAAATGATCTCTCACCAAAGGCCCGGGACTGGTGGCTGCTGCTCGGCTCCTCCGCTTGCTTTGCTGGCCTTGCATGGCTCGGCGAAGTCCGCAAACCATCGCCACCTGCCTGCTGCAAGTCACCTTCGCCTGCAGCCTTGGCCTCCCTTGGCTTCCCCTTCCTGCTCCTGTTCTCAGCGCCATTGCCCCACCTCTTGTCGCGGTCAGGGAGCTGCAGGTCCTCCTCCTCCGGGATGGGATTGTACCAGATATCCCCTTCGCTGCTGCAGAGCGTGCTGGGCTCCTGCTCTGTACTGGACCCGGCCGCCGGCTCTTCTGCCCCCTGGGTCTTCCCCGAGGAGAGCACCCAGTGTCGGCTGCTTCTCTCAAGGCTCTGCAGGTAGGCCCCCTGGCTGCTGCACTTGGCGCCGATGCTGGAGGTGCGGGTCTCTGCTGAGCTGACCAATGGTTCAGCGGCTTCCTTGGGCCCAGTTGCCGCTGAGCCAATGCGGGGATGGCTCTCTGGGGACAGCGTTTCGCCGAGGTCAGCAGGTGTCTGTGCAGCATTTGGAGAGCTCAGCTTCCTGCTGCGAGGGTCTTCCTGGCTGCTCCAAGCAAACTTGGCCCAGGTTTGCTTCCTCGACACGGTGACGGCGGCCCCTTTGGCACGTCCATCAACCGGCGGGAGAAGCCCACACTCCGTGGGGGACTCCAAAGCTGATGGAGCCTCGGAAGGAGAATCTGCGGAGAAGAGAAACCAGCATGTTGTGTTTGTGCCTGGTTGTAACGCTCAAGTTCAGAACACACTGAAGTTGTTGCAGTAAACATTAGGCAAGGCCTTGTTGAACAATAAGGCGGTTCGCAACTGGAAGGAAACAGAGACTTGGCACAGGAAACTCTTAGGGAAGCTTTAGGTGCCAGCTATTCTGTTTGGGATGGAGCAGAACAGCTGGCCCATGGACCAGGTGCAACAGACGGGGTCTCCTCATCTCCCCTTTTCAGGCTACCCCCCATGCAGACATAGGGCAGACTGTTTTGAAGCCTATCTGCCACATGGGGGCATTTTCAGGAGGCTGAAGCAGATGTGGGGAGGGTTAACCTCTCCCCATGAACTGTGACACCCTCCGCATAGGAATTAGGCTTGAAAACAGCCTCACATTGGAGCTACCCAACAAGAAACGGTTGTGCCAATTGAACTCTGGGTCTCTCTTCAAAGTCCACTACAGTGGTACCTTGGTTCTCAAACATCTTGGTACTCAAACGCCTTGGTTCCCAAACTTGGTTTTTGAACATTTTTCGGAAGCCGAACGTCCAATGCGGCTGTCAACTATGGTTTCCAGGGTGCCTGCACCAATCAGAAGCTGTGCATTGGTTTTCAAACATTTTGGAAGTCAAACGGACTTCCGGAACGGGTTAAGTTTGGCGCTTTTGCTTTTGCTATTTATTCCGTGTTTTTGTTTTTGAGGCTTTTTCGGTTAATTTGTTTTTGTGACTGTGTGGAACCCAGTTCAGCTACTGATGGAATGAGTGACTGCAGAAATGGATAAAAGCCCCCATCCAAACAATGACTATCATCAGTGCAGGTAAGATTTTTTTTTTATTTTAATCATCTACAATACTGCCTTATTTATTTTATAGTACAGTACATTGATTATTGCTTTCATTTTATGGATCCATGGTCTCGTTAGCTAGTAAAATTCATGTTAAATTGCTGTTTTGGGGGTAGTTTTTAAAAGTCTGGAACGGATTAATCTGTTTTGCATGACTTTCTATGGGAAAGCGCACCTTGGTTTAGGAACACTTTGGTTTTGGAATGGACTTCCGGAACGGATTGAGAACCAAGGTACCACTGTACTCTGTTCCCTTCCAGCACTCAGCCTTTCTCCACAGACTGATACTATTAAGGGATTCAGGGCTGCTGAGATGACCTGGCTAATATGCACGAATGTTCCTAGGGATGAGCTCACTGAGCCTTGAGTGCTTCTGTTTAAACTCTGGAGAAAACTTCTGAAACCATCCAGACAGCAAAGGAGCCCCCGGCAGGAGAAAGCAGCAGGCACAAGCAGATTTCGGAGTACTGCATCCATGCTCTGAATCGAAGCAACCCACAGAAGCCTTGAGTGAGGACCAATTGGGGGGGGCAGAGGAAAGGTGATGGGGGAAAGGGTCTTGGAGGGGTTCAAGCCCATTCCTACCCGGGCTTGGCCTGAAGACATGCAGCCAAGGCCTGCAATGCAGCTGAGGCCAGGAGGTCCCTCCCATCTCCCAGCTGCTCAGACCCAGTGCCAAGTTGGATTTCCTGTTGTTTACTGCGCAGTCCCCTCCCCGGCCAAGACACAGAGCTCCCTTTGTAGGTCCACGAGTAACTCGGCACACGAAGAGCCCCATTGATCAGGGAGCAGCCCAAGAACGAACATACAAGCCACAGAGAAGGCAGCTGGGGAGCAAAGGGGGACGTGGAAGGAGCAGCAAACGATCACAGAACACAAGACTCATAGAATTAGAAGGCGCCCTGAGGCTCACCTTGCCCAACCCCTGCAATCCAGGAATATGAAGCTGTCCCATACAGGGATCGAACCTGCAACCTTGGTGTTATTAGCATCATTCTCTGACCAAATGAGCTACCCAGGTGCTGCTTTGGGACACGTTGCTCCCAGGAGATGCATTAGAGAACCTTATTTCATTTCATATAACCTTATATCTGAATACTTCTTTTTCCCCAGAGTTTTTACCTGCCACTGAAAGACAAACTCAGATGCACAACCAGGAGTAAGAAGGAGGCACTATACTATGCCACATAATCAACAACCCGAGGGAAAGATTCCAGGAAACCTACCTTTTTAAAAAAAAATTAAAAATGGTTATTATAGGGTGTGTGGTTTTTTAAAAAAAACATTTATTATCCAGACCCTCAGTTCCATTAGAATTTTCAGGGAGGTTTACAGTCATAAAATAAAACAATAAAAACATAAAACTACAGTACAAAGTTAGAAATAGCAATTAACTTAAAGGGGAAGGGATAAATCGGCAACTATTACAAGAACTTCAGAAAGAGATTCCCAGTGCCTGGGTAAGATCTTTGCCTGGCACTGAAAGGCTAGCAGACCCAGGACCAAGCATGCTCTGCAGGCAGAGTGCCACCGCTGAAAATGCCTTTGCATCTCAGCCCTGCAAGTTTGATTGTTGTTCTCATTTTACAGGAGAAGAACTGAGGCTGAGAAAGTGCGGCTTCCCCCACGGGCTTTTCCAGAAAGAACCGAGGTGAACTCAGATCTCCCAGAATTTTGAGCCCGTGGGACTAAATGTTGCAGGGATACTGAATGAAGGTTGTATGGTTTGCCTAGAAAGCCAATTCAAGGAAACAGCAGCTGACATCTCCAGGGCTTGAATGGTACATTTCACACAGCCGTGGGCGCATCGACTGCCATGTGCAGGATTATGCTTCTGCCAGGCAGCCACAAAAACAGTGTGATTTAAAAGACATTTGTGGTGACAAAACTACACCATGGCCCAGCTAGATTGGCATCAAGTGGTGATCTTGTGTCCATCAGGTGACCAGCAGTTGCATGCACCATCCGCTCCCTGTCTGCCAGATGCTCACCTGGATAGGGCCTGCACAACTCTGTCCTTGGGCTAAAGACACGATACTTCAGGGACAAAGCACTTCTTGTATCCCCCAGGCTGCCTGGCCCTCGCCTGACTCGCCCGCCTGCCCGTTTTCTGCCTCCCCAGCCCCTGCCCTCTAATCTGCCACCTTGGGCCAGCCCCTCCACTTTGCTCATGGAATGTGCTACTCAAGGCCAGCAGGACCACTGGGTAGAGGGAGCCAAGCACCTCAGGCAGCAGTTGCTGAGGGACACACAAGCCGGGCACCCACTAAACCAGCCAGCAGCCCTCAGGGGTGTGCTAGGGCAGGGACGCGGACTTATAAAAAATATTGGGGGGGCCCGGGAAAGCTCATGAATAATAAATAAGCTCATGAATATGCAAATAAAGTGGCGCCGCCTCCTCGTGAGCGAATAGGGGAGAGCGTGCTGCGCCTATTAATCAGCTCCAAAGGAAATTGGGTGGAGCTTTTGCTCGGGAGGGAGGGCAGGAGGCATGCAGCCCGCCCCTCCCTGTGCATTTTGGGCTGGGGGAGGGGCGGCGATGGCGCTCTGCTGGAGGGGCGCCGGAGATTATTGGGGGGGCGGAGCCCCCCAAACGAATTTTTGAGGGGGCTCGGGCCCCCTCAAGCCCCATGGAGTCGGCGCCTATGTGCTAGGGGTGCTACCGCCGTCCTGTGGCCTGTGCTGAAGATGGAATCATCCCTCAGCCCAGTCACCTTCAGAACATGGAAGCAAGGAGGGGACCATCTTTTCCCCCCATATAATTTTATGTTTATTTTGACAAAGTAATAATCATAAATAAATAAGAATATGAATGTGCACCCCACCCCCGAGATCATTCCATGGTAACTATCCAACCTCCCAAAATTTCAACTCCTCTTGGGATGGTTTGGCCCCTTTCCGTTTTAACAGTACAAATTCTACAAACACCTTCCTCAAAATCATTTCTCTGGCATATTCCCCGTCTTACTTTAATAGCACAGCTTAATTTATCATTAATAGCTATATCCCACACCTCTTTATACCATTCTTCCATTTATATTCACCTTGCCCCTTCCACCTCCTAGCTAGAAGAACTCCTGCAGCTGTCAATAAATTTGCGAACGAGTCCTTCATAACCTTCGTAAATTGATAATAATGCTACCTCGGGACTTTCAGTCAGATTTAACCCAGCAATTTCTGATACCTCCTTAAACACCCTTTGCAAAAAAAAAAAAAAAAAAAAAAGGACATTTTACACCCCCACCACATGTGAACGTAATTCCTGGTTTCCTGGCACCCCCTCCTGGGGACCATCTTGCCCTTAGCCTCAGGCGGCAAAATGCCTTGGGCTGGCTCTGGCACTGCTGAGGCGACTGAGAAGTTGGCGGGCAAGTTTGTGACATGGGGGGCCAAACTCTGATCAGGGCCTGTCAAGGTGGGATCTGGAGGGATCTGTGACCTGTTCTTTGGGTAGGTGGGGGAGATTCCGGCAGAAGTGTCCCTCCACCTGGAGAGGAAAGAGCCCCCTCCAAGGAAAGACGGGATCCGCCGCCCATCCATCCTTGGCAGCTCCTTCCCCTCGCTTCCTTTTGCCTATTTTAGCAGCAACGGCAGAGGAAATGCCGGAGATGCCTTCTGGCCCCAGCCCTCCAGCCGACCCCCCGCCTCTCGCCCGCGCAGGGTGGGGTGGGCTCCCTGGCGGGGGGCGCGCCCAGCCCACCCACCCCCCACCCCGTCTCCCCGGGGTGCCCGCTACCTGGCTCTTTGCGCTGCGCCGCCTTTTTGCGCCCCAGGCGCTCCTTGCCCCGCAGGCGGGAGAAAGTTTTCCGCAGCAGAGGCTGGGCCATCACTCGACGGGGCGGCGGCGGCGGCGGCGGCGTCCTCCCCCTTCTTCCTCCGGCCCCGTCGCCCCGCCTCGCCCGGACCCCGCGCCGCGCTCGGCGGGAGCGAATTCCTCGGATGCCTGCCGAGCCCTGAGCTGCTCCGGCGGCCGCGACTCGGGGGAGGCGGAGAGGAGAGAGGAGGGCCGCCCGCCCGCCCGCCCCGTCGGACTCAGCCCGGAGCCCGCCCAGCCTGCAGGGTCGGCCAGGCCTCTTTTTCGGGCTTCTAGCCGCCCCGAGGAGCGGGCGAGGGGAAGCCACTTCCGCTGGCGTCCCGAGGGGCGCCCGGTTCCTTCCCAGGCTCCCTGCGAGGCGGGAGGGTGGCCCGCCGTCCTGGGCCGGGGAGGAGGAGGAGGAGAGGAGGGCGGTCGCAGGACTCAGGACCATCCCTCCGCCGCCCGCCAGCCCCGCTGCAGCCCACCCACAGTTGCAGAGGCAGCAGTGCCCAGTGGGCGGATCCAAGCTGCCCTCGGAGAACGGCGGCGATCGCCGTCGCACCGCATGGCCGAAGCCCAAGCGGGACGGACAGGGCAGCCCGGGGCAAAGCGTGCCCAGCTGGCATCACCTCCGACCGTGCAGCTCGAAGGGGCTGCCGCGCCGGCGACCCACCCGTGGGCTCACCCCCGGGCTCCCCGTCCGCTTGCTGCTTGGGCCGGCGCATGTGGGTTTCTTCCCGAGGGGCTGGTGCGATGCGGCCGCCCGCAAGGGTAGATCTGCAGGCTAGATCCGGGTGGGGCAGGGAATCCGCAGAGAAAAGTGTGGGGAGGGGGAAATGCTGGGGGGGGGGAGCAGACGGGGAAGCGGAGAAAAGCCCCCGTGGAGACTGAAGGAGACACACAGAAGCAACTGGGCGGAGAAGTAATTTGTATGGTTTTAACAGATCAACAGATAGAAATAAAACTATCAGTGTTTACTTATTTTAAGTCGTCCCCCCCCCATATTTTTAGTTCATATTTTAATCTGTAACTGGCTCTGAGTCCTGCCACCTAAAAAGGTGGCATATAATTAATTTGTTGATATTATTATTATTATTATTAAGAGGACTTGTTCAAACAGTCACAACACTTTTTCCTTTAATTTTGCAAGCAACCCCAGGTATCTCCAAGTGCGACTGTATAATTTCACTCGGCCACAGAAAATCTGCAGGGCAAATCCACACTTGTCTCAGTTCATATATACTTAGTGGATCATTTTCATGCCAGCAACACCCCTCGCAGAAGACCTGGGTGGTGTGGGGAGAGACTTGCCTACCACAAACATTACCCAAAGTGCAATGGATGAACACACCGGCATTGAAGGAGCCCACAGTGTGGTGCCTTTCTCTGCTGGTTGTTCAGAGGTGCAATTCTGGTGTAGAAAATTCATGTTATGGACTCCGTCTATGTGCCCAAGGTTTCCTGACTCCAGAGGGGCACACAAATGGGCAATTTGTGGCAGCATGGAGAAAACTCCGTATCTCAGCCATTGCACAAGCTTCATTCATACCACTGGTGTGGCAGAGTTAACACTTTTCCATGGCAAAACCCTTTCTTGACAAACTTCTTTCCTGGGATGGACATTATGGAAAGTCCATGCTTTCCACTGATGCTCCCCCAAAAAGCTTGGCTGATATGAAAAGTGTACCCATTTCACATAATTCAGATGGCATTGATACCAAATGGGATCCAGTCATAGGAAAGCGACCACCACAAATAAACTAACCTACACAAAGACCCAGTGATATGCACTCTGGCCCACTTAGCTGCTCTGGGATGTGGCCAAACATTGCACACACCACAGCCATATTATCAGCACTCCACTTAGCAGTCATGAGAATTTTTGCAGGAATGATGCCCAGATTTGGCATGCAGCAACTGATGAGGCTGTGTTTGGGGGACATAATGAAAGTTTATAAAAACAATTATGCACAGTGTGGAGAAAGGAGATACTGTAGAAAGGTGTTCTCCCTCTCAATTTTCAAGCACAGCGTCCTCCAAGGACTGCTGACAGGCAGGAGAGTCAAAATGATAGGCTTCTGGCTGGCATCTGTCTCAGGAGACAACGGAAGAGTGTGCCTTCAGGACTGAAGTCAGACCTTTGCAGAGTTACAGCGCCTGCTGTGGCTGTAGAGACCGATATGGGAGAGACATGTTTTGTTGCAGAAGGGGCAGTTGAAGGTATCTGGTTGTGCCAATGCAGATGCATTCTCTCTGAACTCCTCCCACTGGTCATTCTTCCGCTGCTCACTGCTGCACAACCAGGTGCTGTGTTCGTCTGCAAGGGATCCCCAGCTGCCAGGGTTAATGTTGCCAGCCTTTGTGTCACATCTGCAGACATCTTTGTAACACAGAGTTGGTCTGCCAACAGGTCTGGTCCCTGCAGAGCACGTCCTTGGGGGTCCTGACATCTTCCATGACCCAAGCCAACGTTGACACCACTGAGTGAGAAGTGCAAACAAGGCGGGAATGTGGGCTTGGGCGAGCACATCTTTGTTTGAGACTCTGGCTTGCCATGTGATGCCCAAAATTTTCCTGACTCAGTGAGTGTGCCAGCACTCCTGGCGGATGTAAGTTATAATATAATAATAATAATAATAATAATAATAATATATTATTATTATTATTATTATTATTATTATTATTATTATTATTATTTATACCCTGCCCATCTGGACGGCTTCCAACAGAATATTAAAATACAATAATCTATTAAACATTAAAGGCTTCCCTAAACAGGACTGCCTTCAGAGGTCTTCTAAAAGTCTGGTAGTTGTTTTTCTCTTTGACATCTTGTGGGAGGGTGTTCCACAGGGCGGGTGCCACTACTGAGAAGGCCCTCTGCCTGGTTCCCTGTAACTTGGCTTCTCGCAGTGAGGGAACCACCAAAAGCACTGGACCTCAGTGTCCGGGCAGAATGACCGGGGTGGAGATGCTCCTTCAGGTATACTGGACCGAGGCAGTTTAGGGTTTTTAAGGTCAGCACCAACACTTTGAATTTTGCTCGGAAACGTACTGGGAGCCAGTGTAGGTCTTTCAAGACCGGTGTTATGTGGTCTTGGTAGCCGCTCCCAGTCACCAGTCCAACTGCCGCGTTCTGGATTAGTTGTAGTTTCTGGGTCACCTTCAAAGGTAGCCCCACATAGAGTGCATTGCAGTAGTCCAAGCGAGAGATAAGTTGCCCATGCCTCACTACAGGAAAGCAGCATGTTCAACATGCAAGCCTGCTAGACCTTCGTTTTGGTACGTCTGTAATGAAATTCACAGCTACGAGATGGTGACTATCACTAGTTTAAATTAAAGGGGAACTGGATAAATACATGTAGGAGAGATCTGATAAATGGCTACTAGTCATGATGCTTATATATTACCTCCAGTATCAAAGGCAGCAAGCTACTCCCAGTTGCAGGACAAGTTGTGTTCCTACAGGCTCTCTTGGAAGCATCGGCTTAACAACTAAAGGAAACAGAATGCAGGGCTAGACAGGCTGTTTGGGACCGATGGTAGGAATTGGATAAAGCCCACCGATAAAGCCCACCGCGCCTCTTGTCAGCCTTTCTGCACCCACTCCACAAGGTGAAGCTGACAGACTGCAAGAATTAAGCAGAAGAATTCCTTTCCGCGATTTGTAAACTATGTCCTATTAATACACATTAGCATATTTGCAGCTGCATCACACTGCTGGCTTCTGTTCGACTTTTCATCAACTACAATCTAGAGTTCCTCTTCACACGTATGACTGCCAAGCTATGTCTCCCACATCCTATAGCTATGCAGCTGTACATGCATACACAGAGAGCCAAATGCTAACAAGGCTAGGATTGTGCTACAATAAATATATTTGAACCTGTATAGACTAGCCACCAGATGAACCTTAGCTCATGCTGGTTGTGGGCTAAGTTGCCTTCCGCTGAAAAAATGTTTTGCTCTTTGCTGGGAAGACACTTGCGACTGACACATTTTACTTTTCATATGGGATAGATGTTTTTCGGAAAACACTAGCACCTGAACTCTCAGTGTGTTTTTTAATCACATAAACACCCCTGTGGCAAGCTTCCCTGCCCATTAGTAGGGCATGATCTTTCATGCGTTTCCCTGAATTCGAGCCTCTGAGACAGTTTACATTTGCTTTTCACATTTCAACAGAATCTCCCTCTCTGGACATTAAAAGGTAAGTAGCTGTTTGTGCATGCTGCAATCTCACAATTATGAGAAACCAGTCAGAGGCCAGAAGGAAACAGAAGTGCTTTCTACATTTCAACCAAATGCTCTCCACGGAGAACTAGCTGGTATAGCAGCAGCTGAGAATTGCCTCTTCATCCTCCTCAAAGACTGTATTTGCATGGAAACCAACCTCATAGCATTCAGAGGATTATAGACTCTCCTGGCACATTTCCATTACATTCTCTTGGCTTCAGTGTGTCTGGTTTGTGGCTGCCTCAGAGAGGTATTTTAATAGTACGTTTTGGCCTCTACCCAGCTGCTGCATGTGCATTAGCGCTGTAAAAAAATTCAACAATTGTACCAAACAGCTGTTCAGGGGGAAGGAAGCAGGGGTGGGGGGGAGAGAGGAGACAAATATACTAAGTCCCAGCACTCTGCCTCAGTAAATACTAGATCAGAAACCCCAGCATCATATTTTCATATTGATTCCATTGATTTGGAAGAACACTGAGCAAGTTACAGGACTCAATTCCCCTGCAACTAAGTCATTGGTGGGAAGAATTTCAGGGTTGTTATAGTTGTTCTTGCTCTCTCCTTATCCCAGTAAGAGGACCTATTTGGAATTAAATTCTACTGTGTTTGACATAGTTTGCTTCTGAGTAAGCACACACAAGATCATTGCTGTAAGACAAATCCATATTAATATTAATAATTTATTATTTATACCCCGCTCATCTGGCTGGGTTTCCCCAGCCACACTGGGCGGCTTCCAACAAAATATTAAAATACAATAGTCTATTAAACATTAAAAGCTTCCCTAAAACAGGGCTGCCTTCAGATGTCTTCTAAAAGTCTGGTAGTTGTTTTTCTCTTTGACACCTGGTGGGAGAGCATTCCACAGGGCGGGTGCCACTACCAAGAAGGCCCTCTGCCTGGTTCCCTGTAACTTGGCTTCTCACAGCGATGGAACTGCCAGAAGGCCCTCGGCACTGGACCTCAGTGTCCGGGCAGAACGATGGCGTTGGAGACACTCCTTCAGGTATACTGGACCGAGGCTGCTTAGGGCTTTAAAGGTCAGCACCAACACTTTGAATTGTGCTTGGAAACGTACCAGGAGCCAATGTAGGTCTTTCAAGACCAGTGATATGTGGTTTCGGCGGCCGCTCCCAGTCCCCAGTCTAGCTGCCGCATTCTGGATTAACTGTAGTTTCCAGGTCACCTTCAAAGGTAGCCCCACATAGAGCGCATTGCAGTAGTCCAAGCGAGAGATAACCAGAGCATGAATCACTCTGGCGAGACAGTCTGCGGGCAGGTAGGGTCTCAGCCTGCGTTCCAGATGGAGCTGATAAACAGCTGCCCTGGACACAGAATTGACCTGCACCTCCATGGACAGCTGTGAGTCCAAAATGACTCTCAGGCTGCACACCTGGTCCTTCAGGGGCACAGTTACTCCATTCAGGACCAGGGAGTCCTCCACACCTGCCTGCCTCCTGTCCCCCCAAAACAGTACTTTTGTCTTATCAGGATTCCTCCTCAATTTGTTAGCCACCATCCATCCTCCAACCACCTCCAGACACTCACAAAGCACCTTCACCGCCTTCATTGGTTCTGATTTGAAAGAGAGGTAGAGCTGGGTATCATCTGCATACTGATGAACACCCAGTCCAAACTCCCTGATGATCTCTCCCAGGGGCTGCATGTAGATGTTGAAAAGCATGGGGGAGAGGACAGAACCCTGAGGCACCCCACAAGTGAGAGATCAGGGGTCTGAACACTCATCCCCCACACCATTTTCTGAACACTGCCCAGGAGGAAGGAGTGGAACCACTGTATAACAGTGCCCCCAGCCCCTCTACACGGTCCAGAAAGATGTTATGGTCGATGGTGTCAAAAGCCGCTGAGAGATCCAGCAGAACTAGGAAACAGCTCTCACCTTTGTCCCTAGCCCACCAGAGATCATTGACCAGTGCGACCAAGGCAGTTTCAGTCCTTTCCCAAGGACATGCAGGCATCAGGCCTGCCACATGTTCCAGAGAGGTGGTGAGCACTTGTGAATTCACTGATGGAAGAACAGCTCCCTACCGTTGATGCAAAGCTGGGACAGACAACACTCCAAAGGTAGCAAGAATTATATCCCTTTATTGTATGCACAGCAAAACGCTGCATTGTAGCTTCTGCAGGGACAGAGGCAAATATAGCAGTCCACAAAGTATTACTGGACACTCACTCATGTGTTGCCTGCTGCCCCCTCCCCTGAGAATGTTTGCCAAAGTGGCAGGGAAAATTAGACTTAAATAGATTTGGGGGTACAGTCTAGGAGAAAATTGACCACAGGACTAACTCTGCCCTGTAACAGAACATGAGCAACTGCTGAGGCATTAAAGTAGTTGTGAGGATGGGACGAGGATTACAGGCCTATATGGCCCTAGGGAATGTAAGGTTGGGACTTAGAAACCTGTATTATCAGCTGAATTAGCATGGCTAGATGGTCACATGCACCAAAGATGCATGAGCAAAAGGACCCTTCTGAGGTCCAAGGTGGAAATCGACGTGGGGTAGGGGGACAACAGAAAGGTATAGTTTCTGTTTCAAACCAAATAGTATAGATTCACTTTTGCACTTCCTTTGGGAATAGTAAGTATCTACCGGTGTTGGAAAAGGGTGCACCGATTAATTAATGTGATATGATTGGATTGTTAAATGCAAAACTTAATAAAAATTATTTAAAAAAGAAAAGGAAAAGGGTGCACCTAAATCCTCAGATGAAGGAATGGCAAACTAGAGAGGCGTGTGTTCTTTCGTCCCAACTATGGTTATTAATGTATTAGCTGCGTCAATTAGTGAAGCCAACCTGTTAGACATAATAACCAAAAGGAACAAGTCGAAGTGATTCACGAAGAACTGCTTTGCTGCTCCTACTTCAGACAACAGCCATTGTGTGATGGGTGGAGATGGAATACGAGCTAGTGCTTCAGCAGCAAAACAAGAGTTGAAAAGTGGAGGAAACCAGCTATCTGAAGAACCACCCCAAGGAAGCCCAATGAGGGAGGGCATGAGACCTCAGGACTGCCAAGGCCCCATCCCTTTGCTTGAGATCAATTCAGATGAACCATATCTTCCATGCAAAGCAGTCACTTTGCTGTCCAGTCAAATCCCACATACTTGTATCTCCAAGCTAAGCCCTACACAGCGATGGAGCCTTCACGGAAGTCTGTTTTCCCAATGAGGACGTTGAGAAGGACAGGGTGCCCTTGCCTGCATTCAGACTGTGCTGTCCTGATAAGTTCCTCCGTTTGATCCTCATTCTCGCGGTTGAGCAGGAAGCCTTTCCCTCCTAAGCCTTTTGCCACCACATGGTAATCTGCAAAGAAAAGCAGCACATGAGCAAGGAGGAAAAACATACGGAAGGGAAGATGGACTTTCTTCCTAAAATGAAAGGGGCTGGAGTTCAAGGCTGCTGCTGCTGCCCCTAGAAGCCCTTCTGGATTTACCCTTCAGCAAGGAGTATGCAAAAGCTCTCTTCTACTTTTTATATTCCAGAGCATGTGACAGAACACTTCCAAGGTCAGGCAATGGTTCACTCAAATTAATAAGCTAAGTTACCTATCCTGAGCTTCATGGGCTTGTGGCAGCTGACCTCCTTTGCCTGCTCCTTCAGTTGGACTCAAAATTCCTGAATGCTAACAAAATGTGTGTCTCCTTTTCTTATTTCTTATCCTTACAGAAAATATAAATTAGGCCTGTGATATTTTCCACTGGTTTTCTAAAGGATTTCGCTTTTCATACACCCCCCTTTTTATTGCAGTAACTGTGTTATGCAGGCTAGCAAATGCGTATTACAGGTGTAGTTTGCAAATCTTGCGGGTAAAAAAAGTAAAGGTAAAGGACCCCTGGACGGTTAAGTCCAGTTAAATTTGACTATGGGATGCAGTGCTCATCTTTGCTTTCAGGCCAAAGGAGCCGGCGTTTGACCACAGACAGCTTTTCCATGTCATGCGGCCAGCATGACTAAACCACAATGGGACACCATGATGGAAGCCAGTGTGCATGGAAACGCCATTTACCTTCCCGCTGCAGCATAGCTATTTATCAACTTGCACTGGTATGCTTTTGAAATGCTAGGTTGGCAGGAGCTGGAACAAAGCAACGGGAACTCACCCCATCGTGGGCATTTGAACCACCGACCTTACGATCGGCAAGCCCAAGAGACTCGGTTGTTTAGACTACAGTGCCACCCGCATCCCAGTAAATCATTAAAATCATGCTGGACACAGATGAAGCAGCTAAGCCAGGAATCAGTAAAATTACTGATTTTGAGTAAATTTAAAGAGTTTTTTATTAAAAGGCTAACTGTTGATGTGGATGTCTCCAAATTCAGCTTCTGGGAAAGGGATATACCAAGTTAAAACTAATACATGTGTCAATACTTTCTACTGGTCCAAATACGCAATGGTTCAAATATGCATATATTTGGAGCAATGCATGCATTCTGACTTTCAGTACAGTATAGGAATAAAGTTCGTCTAGAGATTAACTATTTATTTAAGGCATTTTATATAAAATGTTCTCTGGGCAGCTCACATACAGAAATGGAAAATACAGTATTAAAAAAATAATCAATTTGCAGCATAAGAATTGTTGGCAGATGAAACCAGTTATGCTGACATTTGAAGGTGATGTCTTCATAGACATCTCATATGCCATTGTAAACAATCGATGATGGGTTCTGTCTAGCTTGCACAGCAAAGAGGTTTAGGAACAGATATGTTTGATTAATATTCCCCCTGTATGATTGATCTTTTACCATAAGGATGCAACTATGCAAATTTACTCACAAGTAACCCTAATGACAACCCTAATGTAGGCTATGAGAAAGTGTATCACATGGATGATTTGCAAACTAATTTACACTTGCAATACGCAGCTGTTCGGCAGAAAAGCACATACATGCACTTTAAGTACCATGAACCACATTATACTGTGTTCTGTTCAAATGAGCCATGTTTGCCACTTGTTTGGCGGAGCTTAAACCCAGTTTTGTACCTGCAGCAAAAACCCAGTGTGCCCGGCAGTGAGCAGACAGTCCCTATGATGTCACAAATACCAACCCTCCCTGCTGATGCAGTTTTGCAATTCTTTTTCTGGCGCTTAAAAAAAACAAAAACCCAATGACATGATGAAGTTTAACACAGTGCTTTAATAATAACTTTTGAAAAGGGAGATAGTGGGGGCAGCCTGTGGATCTGAGGTGCAAGTATGAAAGTCCAATCGGATTATGATCCATTTAAATTCCAATTGGATGTGCTCACAAGAGCAGAGCAATTGCATCTCTCTGACACAGAGCATGAGGGGGAATTGCCCTACAAGCAGAATTTGCTCTGTCCCAGAGGCCAGGCAAGACACTATCTTCCCGACCCTGCTTGAAAGAACAGCCAAGCCAAGCTTCTTTGCTTCAACTTTGCCAAGATCCACTTAGGAATTTGTGTATGCCATATCCGGCACTAATAAGGCTGTTAACTCACCTATATAATCCAGGCCGCAGGCTACATTGCTGCCAAGCATGGGAACTTGCTCCCGGGAAATCTGGCTCCAGCAAGCATCGTTCCCCACCAGGGCGATGACAGGTGTCTGACAGAGCAGAACAAAATGTTATAGAACTAAACAGGGATTAAGAAAGGGTACTCACAGTCTTCTACCATACCTTTTTATATATTAGGATGCACAGTGACAAAAGGACAGTAAGAAATGATGGATGAGGCCATTATCCAGAGCCCCTACTATGAGAGAGAAGGAAGAGAGACTATACTGCAATCTTGGCTGTCTATCTATCCTATTCCTGAGACATATTGGGGGTGGGGTGGGGGGACAGAAGAGGAAAAATATCTCTGCCAGCAAGCAAGGAGGGAGTCACTTATCACTCAGTCTTGCTCCAGCAGCCCCCCAGACAGGTTTTAGGAAATGCACAGGTAAACCTCTCCTGTGACTTGGGAGGGGGAAGTTGGGTAGAAAATGTGCCTGGTTGGATTTGCTGGCAGGCTACGATAGGTAACGGAAGAAGACGCTTTGACTCTACTATTTCCTCTCAAAGCAGCCCACCCCCAAAACTGGCTGCCAGACAAAATCTAGTTAAACAAGGTGATTCTGACCAGTGAAGTGATCTCTTGGCAAAGCTGCCAGTAGCCACAGCTTTCCAGCCCTGACCATCTCCAGCTGCTTTCAATAACCCCACCCACAGATGCAGAGAGAACACAAATTGGGCAGAGCTAGGGTTACCTTGTGTCGCACGAAGGTGTCAAATTCCATGATGCTGAACCCAAGGGAGCCATCTCCATATATGATCCAGACCTGCCAAGGATTTTTTTATTAAAGAGTGAGTGAGGGTAGATGCAGCAGCCAGTGAGGTGAAATGCAACATCACATGTTCTTATCACACTACTGATTTTCCTACAAGTAAGCAGCCATCACTGAGAAGGAGGGCTTATCGATCAGAACCCTCTGAACTTGAAGCATGGGAAGTCCTATTAAAAAACTTATAATTTGACAGAATATTCAGATTATTTGATATGTATATGTATAATTTGGAATATTTCATGTGATTTGATTGGATTATTAAAGTGGAAAATTTAATAAAAATGATTTTTTAAAAAAAAAAGAGAGAAGGAGGGCTTATCAATCTGAAGGAGGGTCATATAAGCAAAAATTATTAATTACTGTTATTTATTACATGTGCATACCACCCTTCAACTGAAGACCTTAGGGCAGCTCACAACATAAAAATACAAAATGAGAACACAAAATACATAATAAAACAAAAGCAAACCAAAACCCCCTTCCACAAACACATTTAGAAGGCGTGGTTACAGAGAAACGTTTTCACCTGGCGCCTAAATATATGCAATGAAGGTGCCAGCCGAGTCCCCCTGGGGAGAGCATTCCACAATGGGGTGCCACTGCAGAGAAGGCCCCGTTCTCGTGTTGCCACCCTCTGGACCTCTTGGAGGAGGCACACACTGAAGGGCCTCAGATGATGATCACAGGATCCGTATCGGTTTATATGAGAGGCGGTCCTTGAGGGCTGGCTGATAGGACAACCTCAATTCTCCCAAGTTGGAGGAGGGGCTGGCACACAACACAGTCACTAACTGCCTGTGTCGTGTGACCCTTACCTGGCCTGCCCCCCCCCTCCCCTGAACCACTGTGATTGGGGCTCCCCTTGTTCTCCCCAGTTCCCCTCTTCCCAGGCACACCTTTCAATTAAAAACAACAACAACCCGAATTTAAAAACACACAAATAAAAAAGCAGTTAAAACAATTTAAATCGATTGGGGCAGTAATAAAAGGAACAAAACCCACTATGCAATAACCCAATGGGGACTCAGGCAATCAGCCCAATGACCTCTTTGGGGTAACAGGAGTTGTTTAACCACAGCTTCTATCCTTGGCTTCCCAATACTGCGCACTAACCTCTGAGTCTGGCCGGCAGAGCTTGGCTCCCAGCGCGAAGCCTCCACCAACCCCTAAGGTCCCAAAGGCTCCTGAAACGAGCAGAAGTAGAAGAACAGTGATTGAAGGAAGCCAGTAAGTGGCCTTGCTATTCCAGCAGCCCACAGTCTGATCAGTTCCTGCATTGATAGCCTCTAGCTTTTTCAAAAGCAGACTTTGTTGGTTGGTTTTTTATTATATGGTTGTTGTTAAACTTTGCTGGGATTAGTCACCTTGGGCATCTCAGACATGAGACAGAAAGGCTGAATGTTAATATTTTCATAAAACAAAGACAAGGAGCTGTGTGCCAAGAAAAGAAACACAAAATCCAAGCAGTCCTAATGATAAGAACCTGTTCCAGCTTTTTTTTTTTTAAAAAAAGGGGGGAAGCCTCCTAAAGGAGGCAAGCAGAACTCTTAAAGGCATCTTAGGTCAATGCAGACCAGTTCTTGAAGTTAAGAAACTCCTTTTGGTATTTTCCTCAATTCTAATTTCTGGAGGAAATTGCTCTTTCCAAAACCTTTTTAAAATTATGTTCTCCAGATGGTGCCTTCCACCATGGTTAATACAGGAAAGCAAAGCAGCAGAGCCTTCCTTAGATGTCTCCATCCCACAGCCTCTATGAAGATGGGCTGGAGTGTACAGTGGTGCCTCGCAAGACGAAAAGAATCCGTTCCGCGATTCTTTTCGTCTAGCGGTTTTTTCGTCTTGCGAAGCAACCCCATTAGCGGCTAAGCAGATTAGCGCTATTAGCGATTTAGCGGCTTAGCGGCTATTAAAGGCTTAGTGGCTAAGCTGTTAAAAGGCTATTAACGGCTTAGCGGCTTTGAAAAAGGGGGGGAAGCGGGGGGGAAAGGGCGAGACTCGCAAGATGTTTTTGTCTTGCGAAGCAAGCCCATAGGGAAATTCGTCTTGCGAAGCGCATCGCAAACGGAAAACCCTTTCATCTAGCGGGTTTTCCGTCTTGCGAGGCATTCGTCTTGCGGGGCACCACTGTATTCCACAAGGCTCATTTCTATGGAATTGTGAAATTGGATGTGTGTTTAGCAAAACGACAGGTATCTGCTCAAAGGAAGGAGACATTTTTGCTGCTTCATATCGCAGCAGAACAGCAGTTCCGAAGCTGTATAAGACAAATAGATACCAGAATCAGCAGAATCAACCCCCCCCCCCCCAGAATACATTACACTTCCCAACATCTCGCTAATGTCGTATTACCTGGATCCAACCAGGTCAGTGGCCCCCTGGGCTTTACAATGTAGGCGGCACTTGCAACAAAGTCACCCCCGTCAGCAATCAACAGGCTGTCTTCAGGAAGCAAATTATCCAAATGGTGCAGCAGCTTCAGTGGGTTGAGGTGCTGCTCTGTTGGTTTTTCTGCCTTCTCCCTGGGGAGGAACATGGCTCACAGACTAATTCAAGACACGCCCAAGGCCAGCATTACTCTCTGAATATCAGTTATACAAGGATGAGAAAAAGGAATAGGGTACATATGTGCTTCTCACCTGTTTGCCTTCTCCTTTATGCGATCAACCTCCTTCAGGCCTGTTACCCAGTCCTGGGGACATGAATAGCCCTTCAACGCTTGGCACAAGGACACCAGGAAGCAGGCAGCATCCCCTGTAAGGAAAGGAGTTGCAGGAGGCCTGAAAACAGCAAAGCACTGACCCGGAAGGGATGCACAATGCAGCTAATGTATCCCCTTCCTCAGGGTCACTGACTTCACCAAGCCACGCCACGAAGCACATCCTCTCTCCCTCCAGCAATAGGGCCACCCCCTCACAACCTCCATATTGCAGACCCTGGCAGGCCCCTCACCCTGAATGGCCACGGTGGGTTTCCACAACACATATGCGTTCTTCAGCAGCTGCTCCCGGTTCCTGTTGACAGCAATGATTTTGCTGCGTTTACTTAGGATCCCCCCGAATGACAGGCGAAAATCACAGACTGTGCCTAGAGAGCGGAACAGAAATTATGGGAATGAGACAAACTGCTTGCTTGCTTGCTTGCTTGCTTGCTATCTATCTATCTATCTATCTATCTATCTATCTATCTATCTATCGCCCTTCATCACAAGATCTTAGGGCTGTTCGCATAATAACTAAAGATACCCATCACACACCCAAATAGGCCACCTACTTCCAGGCAGCCCCCCTTTAGCAACAGGTTAGCACTGGCAACTACAATGACCACCTCTACCTGCTAGAATGACCACATCTGCCTCCTTGAGTGCGTCACGCCGGTTCTGACGGATGTGCAGTGGGCTATTTTTACCCAGCATGCCGCGAGCCATGCCTCCAAGAAAACACGGGATCCCCAGTTCTTCTAAGGTATCTCTGGAAGGATAGGAGGAGTTCACTGCAGAGACTCCAGCAACAATGTTCCATTATCAGCAAGCAACAGCACAGCTTTATCCGGCTGTGGCCCATAGCCTCAGTCCCCTCCAGAACCCCAGCTTTACCCATTACACCAGACTCCTGCCCAACCCCAGTCCCAGTTCTCATGTTCTTACTGGTTTGGCTACCCCATCCCAGACTACTTCACCTGAGAAACGATGGCACTCCTCAGCTTTAGGGGTAGCCTCGCTAATGACCAATACTGATTAGTGTGCCACAGACAAATGTAAATGGGATCTGAGGGGAGTCAAAACGGCAAGGTACCACCCCTCACCTGAGTATCTTTACTGGTGTTGGTGGTAGGGTCACCTGACTACCAAGGATGATGACTGGCTTCTTAGCTCGGCTGATGAGCTCCACACACTGTTGAACCTGCACAGAGGCATGCCCAGGTGAGGGTCAGTCTGAGAAAAATGTCCAAGTTTTCAAAGCAACAACACAGCTATTACTGGGGGCGGGGGGGGGGCGGAGAGAGAATAGCTTCAAAAGAGGGAAACGGCAGCTCCTCATTGGGGTGGGGGGGACGGTGACTGTGAAAAGGCAGTAAATCTAGGACTTTGCAGGTAAGAGGATGAAGGCTGCGTCATTCAGTCTCAATTTGTCCCCCTTTCGAGAGAAATAGTGAGTTGCCCTCTTTACAGAAGACAGTAAAGGCCAGAGGAAGTCAGAAGGTATAGGAAGTCATGAAACACAATAGGGATACATTTAAATTTGCAGTTCAGTATAACAGGGACAGTACAGATTAAAATATATAAATTAGATCTTACTCACTAAAATATAACCTGAAGTTGTCATTTAAAACTTGAATCATGATGATATCAAAGCTTGTTTCCTAGGTTTTATGGCAATCACACAGAATTTGGCCATAAAAGGAAGGTAATATTTGTCTGAAATGTAGGACTTAATTATAATTGAGAAGTAAGATGTTCCCAGCTCCACAATTAACTCTGCTAGCTACGTTCAGTTGGAGCTGGGACTCTATGGATTCTCACCTGTCCCTTTGAAGCCTTTGGCAAGTTCACTGGCAGAGGTGAAAGGTCCTGCATCTCCCATGCCCCAGCAAAGAGGTTCCCTATGTAACTGCGCAGATACCTGGGTGAAAACAAAAAGAATGTGGTCTTGAAGGCCAAGATCTTGCCATGGTAGTGATGAGGAGGAGGATGTAGCCTACACCACAGAAGGCAAGAACCATGGGTGTCAGTTTGCTACCCAAAATATGAGCACCAACCAGCTACCAATAAGCTCAAGGTCTTCATGGTGGCAATCTGTCAAATACAGCAGAAGAGCAGGAGAAATCTTCCTCCCCGATATAGAGGACCAGATCGAAGAATTGGGGCATCTTGTAATTAAGGAGCAGGTGATTCAGTTTAAAAGGAGGGGGAAGGGTAAGAGAGAGACCTATAAAACTCTCCAGGGCTCCATCACTCCACACAACTGCTCACCAGTTAATACCTTTGCTGATATGGGAGGGTGGGAGGCAGCTCACTCACCAGTTAACAATCTTTCCCAAAAGGCTTTTAGAAGTGAAGTTCTTGAAAACCTCTCTCTCTACTAGATGATAGGGATACAGGATATCCAAGGGGAACTCTACAAACACAGGCCCTACAAGACAAACAGGAAGCTCCATAACCACCTCACTCTGCAAAGAAAATCCCTGTTGGCAAGGAACTGTCCAAAGAAAAAAAATCTAGTTAGAAGCATGCACCGAGACCAACCCACTTGCTCACTCATGGACCTTGCATCCTTTTTTGGCACAAAACCGCTAACATCTTGAGCTCTACCTCCCACGTGGCAGCACCCAATTAGAAGGATCTCCCATATCAGAAGTGTCAGCGCTGGATTCCTGCATCCACCATTCCTCATCCATCAAAAAGTAAGTGTCCTGCCATGCTCAGAAGAGAGCCACAGTGCTTCTCTAAAGTCAGCCTCAGAAGCCTTTGAAACTCAGACATAAGGCTGCCGAAGCTGATAGTGGCCCATCAGTGAGCTCCAATGGGTCAAAATTCGCCTAATGTGAGGACACAGGTTAACAAGTTCTACAAGTCCAGCATCAGAGCCAGGTGGGCAGGTAAGAGCCAATAAGATACTCGAAGAATAAGCTGTCATTCCCACACTCCCAGCCCTGAGATCTTGCACATGGGCATTAGGACGCTGGGCAGATGCCTTCAGGGGGTGAAGCTGGAAGAGATGCCTCCGTGACAAAATACTGTTCTACTGTGGTGAAAGCATTTTGTTCCAAAGTGCAGGCAAATGGCCTACTGGGTGTTGAGAAAATTCAGAGAGAACTTTTTGCTCTTCCATTCACAGTAAAAAAATACTGTAAATAGTAAAAAAAGAAAGAAAAGCCTGACATTTTTTACTCAAACCTAACCAACCTTTCAAGGCTTATTGGAGAATAAAACAAAGACACCTATAGCCCACACTGAGCCCTTGAACTTTTATTACTTCCTTGGCTTAAGTACAAAAACAGCCACAACCTAACAGCCACAATCCTGTGTGGGTGGAAGATACTTGTTGCAAGCCAACGGCACGGCAGCATACCTGGAGTGTCACACTGGGCAATGGCAATGGCCTTTCGCAACACAGGGGCAATCTCTCGGACAGAATTCACGGAAGCACAGAATTTGCAGAGTGGTTTAAAGAGGGACAGCTGATCAATGTCTTGGAGAGCTCCTCTGCCCTGGGGATGGAGAAAGGAGAAAGCTCATTCACAATCCCACACAGCTGCAGCTCAATTGCCCTTAAAAATACACATGCAGAAAAACTGCCTGCTAAGCTGCTGCTAGAGAGTCAATGTCAGTGAACACATAAAGGCCAAAGCCCTACTTAAATCAACTAGGAGCAGCATCAAGTTCTAGCTACTCTGTCATTGTCCTTTGATTCTAGGGCCACCGGACCGAGCAGCCTACCTTCTGCAACCTGGCTGCTGACCCTCCAATCAACAACACGGGAGACTCTGCCATCTGGGCATTTTTCATAGCTGTCACAGTGTTAGTCACTCCTGGTCCTGCTGTCGTTACAGCAACTCCCACTGTTCCTGCAACAGAAAAATACAGAGGCAAGTGTCACTTTGTGCCCCCCCCTCTTCAGCAAGCAACAAACGGGGAGAAATGTGGTACCTGATAGCCTGGCCACTGCATCTGCTGCAAATACAGCCGTTGCCTCATGCCTCGTGTCCACAACACGAATGCCCAGCTTCTCGCAAGCCACCAAAATGGGAGAGATATGTCCACCCGGCAGCGTGAACAAAAAGCGCACACCATGAGCTTTCAGCACTTCTGCCACAGTTTCTCCGCCATGCCGAGTGCTCTTCATGTCCACCTGGAACAGACAAGTCTGTCTTTTGGTCCTGGCTTCCCATGAACAATGCAATAAAAGGTCAGGCAGGGGCTTAGAGACAAGGAAGATGCTAGGCCCTCAGCTCCTGGTACCCAGTCCTGCTCAAACTGCTTCTGATGCATAAATCTTTAGCATACGGTGTCCACAACCAATGAATTCTTCTCCCAGAAACAATACTATTTTCAAGATGAAAAGCTGAGGTGCTCAAATGCAAAATCCACTCTCATCCTAAGTTTTGTGCACAGGAAACTGCTTGATGCAAAGTCAGACCGCTAGTCCAGGATTTTTGATGGGTTTTTGCCTCAATCCTCCCTGAAAATGCCAGGGTTTGAACCTGCGACTTTTTTCCATGCAAAGCTCTACTGGTTAACTACAGTCCTTCCTCGACTACTTCTTATTGTGCCTTTGATACAGAGCCAATGAGACTGAGGCGCAAGAAAGCAAAGGGCATTGACAGGACCAACTGTTGTTTTAACATCCAGATGTCTGGTGAAAGACAACTGCTACAAACGTTTCACCACCAAGATCGTCTGAACAGAAATCAATTAATAGGTAAAGGTACCCCTGCCCGTACGGGCCAGTCGTGTCCGACTCTAGGGTTGCGTGCTCATCTCGCTCTAGAGGCCGTGAGCCAGTGCCGTCCGAAGACACCTCCGGGTCACGTGGCCAGCATGACGAAGCTGCAGCTGGTGAGCCAGCACCAGCGCAGCACACGGAAATGCCGTTTAGCTTCCCGCTATAAAGCGGTCCCTATTTATCTACTTGCACTTAAAAGTGCTTTCGAACTGCTAGGTGGGCAGGAGCTGGGACCGAACGACGGGAGCTCACCCCGCCATGGGGATTCGAACCGCCACCATATGATCGGCAAGTCCTAGGCACTGAGGTTTTACCCACAGCGCCACCCGCGTCCCAATTCAATTAATACTGGGCCCCGAAAGCAATACAGTATACATCCCTGCAAAGGGAGGTTGGGAGACATAATTCCATTTTGGACTTAAGCTGTTCATACCCTGCCTACTGTCTCTTAAGGCCTTTGGCTCCCCTATAACAGAGATGGAGAACCTGTAGCCCTTCAAATGTTGTTGGACTCCAACCCCCACCAGCACGGTGAATATTGAAGGATGGAATTTGTAATCCAGCAGCATTCAGAGGGTTGTGGGTTTCCCATCACTGCCCTACGGATAAAGAAGCCGCATCTAAAGGCAGCCACTGATTTATGGTTTACCTGATGCCACAGCTGATAGATGAGCCCCAGTTTGTGAGCTACCCCAAGAAGAGTCGCTGTAAGGCTTCCCAGCAGCACCAACAGCCATGTCGAGGAGCCTTCTAGAGCAGAGGCGGCAGCAGGCATGTCAGGATTCATTTGTGTCAGCTACAGATGCACTCCTGTCCCAAAAGGAAGACAAAACACAGAAGTACCATTCTGTAACTTGTTTGCCTCAGCTGCACGCCAGCAATGTTGTAGTAGTTCTATTCTGTAACACAAATACTTAGTTTATTTCTAGTTTTCTTGAGGTGACAGACAAGGGATTTTTTAAATCCAAAAAATGCAGGGCAAATTCTCTCAAACTGTGATTCAGTTTTATCTAACATACATAGTTATGCACCAAGAATTCGTAGCAGTTCAGTCTCTGGCAAGGCAGCAGAGAGGGATGAAGGAAATGGCCTAGGCCAGGAGGCAGCGGCTTAGTGTCCACAGGTAGGAAAGAAAGAGAAAGCCAGGTGGAGTTGTTTTTAATAAAAATGAAAATTGGAAGAGAAAATATAGAAAGCCAGGAGCTGCAGAGATAAGAGAAACACGTTCACGTGTTGCTTTGAATAACCTACCCAATCTTTGACCGCAGCCATCAGTTCTGTAACTTTGCAGCATGATTAGTGTGCAGGGAGCTTCCTTGCTATCTAGCCAAAGCCCAGAAACGAGATGTGTACTTCTATTTACTGATGTCTTACTGGGCACTAGACCTGGACAATTTTTCAATATATGGTTATGAAGTCCACAGCACAATAAGAGTTTCATAAAATGTTGTCCGTCAAGCATCGCGATTTTGAGAAAACTGTGTAGCCGGCTAGTATGTACTTCTTAGGGCTTCCGCTGCCTCCTGCAGGAGCAGTGAGAGACTGACACACAAGAGCAGGCATAGCCGAAGTCACTACGTTTCGTTTGATTGTGCAACTGCCTCTACAAACGCAAGTGACAATTATGAAAAAAGCTGGGAAAGCAGCAGCCAGCCAGCTTATCAGCCCTTATACTTCTTTTGATTTTGCAGCAAGCCCCGGTTCAGCAGTTTAGTAGCTGGTGGGACAAGCTGGTAGGTGCTGGTCTGGACTGGCTCTGGGTTTCTTACTGGGAGCCCTATTTCCTCTTCCTTACCCCCATGAAAAAAGAAACAGGTTGTTTTCTTCAGAGTAAGAACAAAAAACGTTGCCCTGTTTTTTAACTCTCTTTCTTTACTCCCATCTCCTCTTCTGCCTGTGTTTGTGTGCACATGCGAGAAGCCTTTCTTTAACCTCTCTGATGCCTTTACTACCCATTTGAGGGTGGAATGGGGAGCACCATTCCCCTTTTAAAAGAAGGACAAAAAAACCAAGTTGCCCTGTTGGCTCCGTTTATTCCCGTCTCCCCTTCCTCCTTCCCTTTGATAAAAAGGGAGAGATTGGTGGGATAGGGGCTCTTGGGGGCCCTTCGATGTCACAATATGAGGAATTGAAGGGGGGAAGATTTAACTGTTGCTGCTTTATGCTTAAATGGGAGATTAGGTGGTTGTTGTAAGGTGAGAATGATGGGGAGGGTGGGTGCTTGTCGTTAAGTAGCAAGCAAATGCGTGTCAAGTCAGAAATAAGCCCTGCTGAATTCAACGGGGCTGACTCCCAAGAAGGCAGAAGTTTAGGGTTTTTTCCTGTTTGCATCTCAAAACATTTATTTAGAAGCTAACATTGCAGTTGACACCTGCATTTTCCCTCCACCTTGTAGTACTGTGAAAAGGTGAGAAGTAGCAGTAGCTAAAGAAGAGTTTGGATTTGATATCCCGCTTTATCACTACCCAAAGGAGTCTCAAAGCAGCTAACATTCTCCTTTCCCTTCCTCCCCCACAACAAACACTCTGTGAGGTGAGTGGGGCTGAGAGACTTCAAAGAAGTGTGACTGGCCCAGGGTCACCCAGCAGCTGCATGTGGAGGAGCGGAGACTCGAACCTGTTTCCCCAGATTACGAGTCTATCGCTCTTAACCACTACACCACACTGGCTCTCTAAACACACTGTTGAGATTGAATGAAGGAATTTGCTTTGAGGTACTGACTACGAGTAGGGGAACTTGGCCTCGGTCAAAAGGCAAAAAAATATAAATATATCCACTCTAAATATCACAAAAACCATTTAACACTACAGTAGCTCAGGTGGGGCAACAGGGGACCAGTCAACATCAGGTAAACTGCAGACTCTACAAGACAAGAGCCATTTTAACACTGCTGTAAATCTTCCAGGTTACTTTATCTGACCCTGCTGCCAGTACAAATATAGAAGTGGTTACTTTAAGGGCTGTGCACAGGAACATGTCTGGGAGGCGCTCTTATTCATCCCATGATCTACTGCTAAACATTGCTCAGAGCAGCCACAGCAGAAGGAACTTTACCTTCCAGGAATTCCAAGCCGGCACCAGCCTCCAGTACTAACATGACTAACTTTCTCCTCGGTGCCCCATTTGGCACAGCATGTAGCAGTGTCTTCACCTCCAATGATGGTACCTTTGGATGTAACTTCCACAAGTTTATCCATCAAAGCTTTGGTTCTTTTGGAAAACTTGTCCCACTCAAAGACACTGACTGGATCGTTCCACACAATCGGCTTGGCCCTGCCCACAGCTTCCACCAACAGCTTAATGCTTTTAGGACCACAATCCAAACCCATCCATCCATCAGGGATCCCAGAGTCCACAGTGGCTTCTCCAGGGTTAGTATTCTCATCAAATTTACCTGCAGTGATGAGGTCTACAGGCAAAGTGATGTTTACACAATTCTTCTCTGCTTTTGCCATCAGGTCCTTGACTATTTTGATCCTTCCTCATCATACAAAGAGTTGCCAATTTTCATGTTTTTGAGCACTTAAAGGAAGGTAAAAGCCGTCCCACAACTGATAACCATCTCATTGACTTGATCCAGCATGTTTTTGAACAGCTGAATCTTATCCTGAACTTTAGCGCCTGCCAGGATTGTTGGGAAGGGCTGCTCTGGGTTCTCTAGAGCTTTTGCAAAATACTCCAGTTTTTTCTTCATCAGGAAACCAGCAGCTTTGTGAGGCAGATTGACACTGTGAGCTCTATGTGCAGTTTCAAATGCATCATAGATATAAACATCTCCAAGTTTAGAAAGCAACACTCTGAAAGCAGCCACCTTTGCAGAATCGGCCTTGATCTTTTTCTTGAAGCGTCCTTTCCCTTCCCTTCCTCTTCCATGTGGAATCAGAGGTTTTCCGGAAGAAAGACTGAGCCAGTTGTGCAATCAGCTTCCACCTCTACACCCATTCAGGAATGTGACATCCCTGCTTAGCAAAGCTCTGAGCTCTGCTGCTACTGGTTTCAGGGAGTATTTGTCAGGCATAGGAACCCCACCAGGCCGACCCAGGTGGCTCATCAGACTTGGCTCCATCGTCCAAGCAATGCTTAATGCTTAGGACAGCTGCCTTGGTTCTTTGGTTGTTGGTTATTTTGTTGTCCTTCATTGGAACGTTGAAGTCAACCCGCATGACCACGAGCTTGCCCTTCACATCCACTTCACATCTGGACAGAGTAAGCTTGGTGGAGACAGACATTTCACAGCAGGAGCAAATGGACTGCAACCTCTTCCTTGTTCATAGGCAGCAAGAGCAGAAGTAAGTTTAGTTGAACTGAGTGGGGCTTACTAATGCATAGAATTGGAGCTGGCCCTCTGAGTGGGGAAGGAGATGCACTTGACACTAGCAAATTACATAAACTACTCATAAATTAGTAGAAAACAAATTAAATTGTTAATCATATGCAAGTTTAATTAATATTTTTACTAAATCTACTACTTTTGTAAATTTGCCCCCAAAACTGCATAGAATATTAATATATTCTCCAGAAATATTTAATGGTTTAGTTGAAGCATGCTATCATTGAGTTAATTTTCATGTAATTATATGCATCAAGTTTAGAATCCCCCCCCCCCCGCATTTTCCCAGATTATTTGTGTTCACTATGACTCATTACTGTATTTTGGATCGTCCTGGACCTGAATACCACCATTTGGTATCCAAGCCCCAAACCAAAGTCCTGTTTGGATGCATTTTGCCTTGCCTGCTGATGAAAGTGATGATTTCATCAGTGTGTGGTGATTCAGACCCGCGACTTGGTAACAGTTGCCAAGACATTACCATGTTCGCCTCTACGTAGCTCCATCTTATTTCAGATATCGTGATATATTAGTATATCTCAATGTTTAGCTGATGATATATTGTGATACTGAAAACCAGATATCGCCCACCCCTACTGGGCATGCCTACACCTTTGCTATAAATGAAAATTATAAGTAATTGCTGATAGATAGCATCCACTCCACTCCCTTTCTTGATCCTTGAGCATCCACTCCCTTCCTTGATCCTTCCTCCCCACCTGTTGAGCAGCAGGTTTATCCCATTCTTACTCCAGCACCACATATGCACACTGCTTGCTCAACTGTGGAACTGTGTTGGAAGAAACCAGAAATAATGAAATCCCAGCACCAGATATATTAAATATTGTAGATTGGTTAAAAACATGGAGGCTGAATCATATACTAAATGGAGAGTAAGTCCTGTTGAACTAAAATGTGCTTAAGTAGACTTGCATAGAATTGTACTGCTGTGGAAGAGAGAGTCCTTCTGTTACTTCAGCAGTGCCATTTGCTCAAGTGCCATTTGCTCAATATGTCTACCACACAAGTGGTAAGAGCCCCCGTTTTTCCACCCTAATTTTGTCTTAATTGAGTTTTGCACTTTTATTCCTGAAATTCTGTATTACGTACTAGGTAGCTGGTTTTATACAGATTTACCTTTCTACGACATTAGAACCCTACAGCATCCTCATACTTGTCCAAAATGTTGGTGCCAAAAATTCGTGATTCAGTTTCTAAAGAATAAGGGAAAGAAAAGAACTAGGAGGATCTTACCAGAAGCCAAATCAGTTGTATCTGTAATCATAATGGTGAGTCCAGAGTACACTCAGGGAACTTTCTCCCTGATAGGACCTGGAACAAATCCTAGCAGCAATACTCAACCATTGCTTAATGTGGTTTAACCTTGGAACTAATTTAAACTAGTATCATTCCAAACAGATTCTTACTTCAGTCTCAAAATACGCCCACAGCCCTGTTTTCCATGTACACCTTTGCACCCTATAAAAAGCTTTGGGCAACCCAAATTCTGCACTCCACTTACCACGAGAAAGTCCCCTATGAGCTGTCTCAGCATCAGCTACAGCCCATAGCTTCATTATAGCACAACTCACTAAATGGATGAATGAAACCCCTGTCTAATACATATGACTAAGGAAATGGCATTTCCTGTCCTTCGAGTCCCCATTTATAGATTTTTATTAATATACAAATATTAACCTTTTATCTCACTCTCTTTCCCTGGAGAGGAAGATCATCCTTTCCCTCCCTACCCCAACCCCCCCCCACCTTTGTCTCCAATCCACCTTTACTCTTCCTCTTAACGTGCAAAGAGGAAGGCACGTTTGGCAAACCCCCATCGTCCCCACTATGGAAGGACGTGTGGCTCCAGAATTGGCCTCCACAGTCATTTACGGACTCACTATTGAGACCGCGTTCACGGAAGACAATCTTACCCGGCTAAGAGTGATCGCCAAAGAAGAAGGTGGTGGGTAGGCGGGGCTGAGAGGGGCGACGACTGCTCGATCCCACCCCCACACACACACACCCCGTTGCACGAGCTCACCCGCCCAGCAAGCTTTCCTGCGGCTCCTGAGCGGTGAGGATTCGAACCCTGGTCCTAGTCCAGATCTCTAACCACTGCGCCGCACCACCGCTTCCCATCCCTGGCCGCCGCCAAAGTTTGCCAAAGCGGACCCCCCCCCCCAAACTTACAAAACCAGAGCGAAACGTCACCGCCACCGTCGAGGAGCCAGGAGAGAGTAGCGCCAGGATGGAAGAGGGAGAGGCAAGACAGACAGGCAGGCAGGCAGGCTGGAAGCGGCCCCGCCTCCGCCGTCGGGCCCTCCTCCCGCCAGGGAAGGGCTGCTCTCTGCAGGCGACGGGACGGGGTGGCTCCGGAAAATTTTGCCTCAGGGCCAGGGCGGGGCACTGGGGCAGAGGCCGCATTCACACGAACACGTAACACGCAACCCGGTTCAGGCGCCCCTCGGGCCGGTGAAGGCCGACAGAGAGGGAGGGGAAAGAAGAGGGCTCTGCGCGCGCGCATCCCCCCACCCCTCCTCACGGGCTCGAGGCCTTGCTTCTAGGAGGCAGAAAACGGGCTGACTCCTCCCCACAGACACGGGACTGCGCGTGCAGACGAGCGCCCCCCCCCAAAAAAAACCTCCCCCACTCCCTACCCCCCCATATACACATACAGGCCCCGCCGGCTGTTACCTAGCAACCCGCGCCGTGTCACTGGGGGGCGCGACGGCGTGACGTCACGCAGCGCGCGAACGATTCCTCGAGAGGGCGGCGGGTGGGGAAAGCCGCCAGGTTGCTTGTCCCAAATCGCGACTCGTAGCAAAACGCCGTCTGGTAATCCACGGAGGTTGAAAGGGAGGGAAAGAGAGTAATGTTTGGGTAGAGATCTTCCGGGTTCGCATTTTTGTTATTCCCTCTGAAGAAGTGAGATATATTTGTATTATATATATCTATATGAACTTCTTTATTGCTTAATTGGTTGCACAAGCATTTACTGTTATATGCAAGCTATTGTATATTTCTTCTTTATCTCCTTTTTTTCATTAAGAGCATCCAATTAATATCAAATCATAATTCAAGGGGGGGAAACCAAATTACAACCCAAATTATTAATTATTAAATTTCAAACGGACTTTCCATATTCTGGACCTCTGAAGAATCATCTCACATAATTATATTTCTGCCTCTGATCTCATAATTTCCACATTCCGATCTTAGACTCTCAAAGTCCCCAGTCCCTGGCTAATCAATTCTCAATCATGTATCCTTTCGTCTGACAAGCACAGCTTAGTTTGTGTGTGTGTGTGTGTGTGTGTGTGTGTGTGTGTGTGTGTGTATTCCCTTGTCTGTTTGCTAGCGCAGCTTTTCGTGGCTTACTGTTATCTTCCAGTCTGGGCTGTTGTCCAAGTCTGCCGTTTGAAGTTTTATGATGCATTATTCCAGAGTTGTTAAGTTATTATGCATATTGTTTGCAAATATATGTAGCAACTGAAATGGAGTACTGTATATTCCACAAATATAAATCATTTGGCGATTGATCAGCTTTTCCAGGGATCACACACTCTCCCTCTGGGCCCTAGAGGGGAGCTGCTAGACACTCGTTTCACCTCTCGCCCATAAAACCTGCAGATGCACTGTATGTTGTGGGGTATTTCCCAAATTATTGTCTCAGATCTTTGTAGAATCAGCCGAAGGATGTTTCCCACTCCCACGAAAAAGGAATTCCCTTTTTCACAACTAGCAAGCGCCATCTTTGTTCCGCTCCTTTCTCTTTGTCAAGTCCAATTAAAACTGCGCAGCTGAATAATCAATTGCAAATAGAAGTACATCTGTACTCCATTTAAAAAAATTAGGTCTTTCTTAATGAGGCTCAGCATATAAAAGCAAATGTAGACATAAAAGAGAGGACGTACCGATCACCTCCGTAAATCCAAGCACGATGATGAGAATCTCTTTAAAGTCCAAACTTAGACACCAGCGCCTGTGCAATTCCGCAGATATTTTCCCTTATCTCCATCAGTTCAGAATACGCCTTTTTTTTGCCAAATCTTACTAATTTTTAAGAAACGGGTGTCCCTGCTCGAGCCAATGGCTCCGGAGGGTGCCCAGTTTCTGTGCCAGGCTTGCCACCCAAAGTCCTCTGCCCCCATATCTTGTTGTGGGGCCCAGATAATGGACTCCACGGGTGAGACAGCCCTCTCCTACATTGGAGAGGTTGGCAGGACTAATTACTCTCATATCAGTCCTGAATTTCTGACATGACTGGGGGTCCAATCTCATGGGAGGCAGCCATTTCCCTCTTTATCTCTCCAGCACGGTATAATCTCAGTCCAGTAATTAACAATCCTGACACAGCAAAATTCAGTATCAGCAGCACACACCTTGTTATCAGGATGGAATTCATTGTATGGAAATTGAAGGCTGCAACTTGCTTTATTTGCTCCTTCAGCGGACACCAATCAAGCCTAAAGTGCCACTCCTACACACTAAAGAAAATTCTGGAACCCTCTTTAAAGCTTCCAGGAACTTTTATCTGTTTCTTAAAGAATGTTTTCCTAACAGCTGCTAGTCTAGCCCACTGACCACTAAAGGTAAAGGTGGCGCTGTGGTCTAAACCTCTGAGTCTCTTGGGCTTGCCAATCAAAAGATCAGCAGTTTGAATCCCCACGACGGGGTGAGCTCCCGTTGCTCAGTCCTAGCTCCTGCCAACCTAGCAGTTTGAAAGCACGCCAGTGCAAGTAGATAAATAGGTACCACTGCAGCGGGGAAGGTAAACAGCGTTTCAATGTGCTCTGGCTTCCATCAGTGTGTCCCGTTGCGCCAGAAGCAGTTTAGTCATGCTGGCCACATGACCTGGAAAGCTGTCTGTGGACAAATGTCGGCTCCCTTGGCCTGTAAGCGAAATGAGTGCCACAACCCCATAGTCACCTTTGACTGGTGACATACCTGTGGTCCTTTACCTTCCCCGCCGCCCCCAGCAAGGCAACACCAGAAAACCTGGAGGCAAGTGCCATTTTGCAAGCAGTAACAGAATCATTTCTGGGTCATTTCTGTCACAAACAAACAAACTTGCCCATCCAGGCAGAGTACCTTACTATCACTCAGGATTTAGGCAAAAGAGAAGTGCTGCTTTTTTTGCATATTTCAGAGAGTCCAGCGAATGCTTTTTGATGTTTATCTCTTTAATAGTGGGTTGTAGTTTTATATACGAGGTTAGGATACCAGACTTGGAGGTTTCCTTCCTTCCTTTTTGCTGCATTCTGTGTGACCCTTAAGCAAATGGAGGTGGAAGAAGAACGGGATATTTCTTCCTTAGTTCTTTGGGGTAGGAGATAGAACAGCCAAGACAACAACAGGGCAACTTACAACCATTCCGTAGCCACTTAACGTGGCCCAAACCAGCAGGACAATTTTATTTATGAAACAACTTTATTTTGAAGGGGGGGGGAATCAGTTTTTGGCCCAAAGAGACATAATTTAACAGCATCATCAACATAAGCTCACATACAAGGATATACAGTGCACTTGTATGTCTGTCTAAAGACACTGAACTTTATACATGTAGGCCGCCATTTCATGGGAGCTGGATTCCAGGCTAGGTTAGTCTCTGCTCTCAATAGCACTATAATGAATTAGATCTGCCTTTCCACCACTTTTTATCAGCATCATGAAGGTCTAAGTGATCAGTATGAAGGTATTAGGAGGTCCAGCCCCTGGGGGTGGAGGCTGGGACACAGAAACGGGCAGGTTGGAGAGAGAAAACAGCACAAAGGTGGTGTTTTCCTTCAAAAAGAAGCCACTGACGTTCTCCAAAAGAGCTCTTGCCTATCTCTATCTTCATATCTCTCCAGGGCACTCACTCTAGTTCTAGCAAGACCTTGGTGGAGGGAAGGGTTGTTTCTATGGGTTTGGGGGCCTTGATTTTGCACAGGAGCAACAAGGACTAGAAGGGTGGGCCTCCTGGATCTTGTGATGAACTACTTTAAGCTACAGGGTGGAAATAACTGGACTTTGTTATCATTCTAGGTGCTCAAGAAGATCCAGCCACTCAGGCTGCTTGGCCTAGCCACCAGGTTTCCAAATCAGTCTTTGCCTGGGCAAGAACCAGATTCGGTTTGGGTGCCAAGTACTAGGACACCCCTGGTTCCTTGTCTGCTCCTCAAGTCTCCTGGTTTACCTGCTAGCCCTGCCTAGGTTTCCTCCCAAGATCTGCCACAGCATTTCCCTTCAGGGCCTAGTCCCACTCTGCTGGGACTTGACCCCTCAGCCCTCTTCTTGACCCCTGGCTGCTCATACCGCACTACTGGCCGCTGGGGCAAGATAACCAAAGGACTTCAGTAGACGGCCTTCAGCACCATTGCCTTGATGGCTTTGGGGGTACTGTTCCCAAGTGACATGCTAACATTGGGCCCCTCATGCTGGTGCGACGAGCGCTCCGATTTGCTGGTGCTGCCCTCCAGTATGGGGAGACCAAAGCGCTTGGCGCGGCTCTCCTCCGTGCCAGGAGTGACCACCAGCAGGCAGCAGAGCAACTTGAGAATGGCCCGTCTCATGTCCTTACTGGTCAGGGTGTAAATGATGGGATTCAGGAGGGAGTTAATCATCGCCAGGCCCAGGAAATAGTCTGCTTTGTAGAGCACGCTGCAGGCCTGGGCCTGGCAGGCAACGTCCAACAACAGGAGGAGGAAGAGGGGTAGCCAGCAGGCGATGAAAGTGCCCACCACGATGGTCACCGTCTTCAGCAAGGCCATATACTTCTGGGACTTCTTGAGCATGCCTTTGCGGAGGCTGCCCAGCCGCTGCCCGTTGAACTTGACCATACGGTAGATGCGGGCATAGAGCACCACAATGGAGACCAGGATGGCCAGGAAAACGGTGATGCAGAAGAGGACGTAATGCTTAGAATAGAGGGGCAACACTGTGGAACACTCGGGGAGGTTTTCGATGCAGTTCCAGCCCAGGATGGGCAGCACCCCGAGCAAGATGGAGGCCAGCCAGCTGGCCCCCACCAGCAGGAACATCCGCCCTTTCTTGTCCCCGTGGTAGAGTCTCATGCGGACCATCGTGACATGGCGCTCGATGGCAATTGCAAGGAGGCTGAGGACAGAGGCAGCCAGCGTGACAAAGACCCCGCCTTCCCGCAGAAACCACTGCACAGGGGTGAGCTTAAGGGTGTTGGGCCCGGACATGACGATATTGGCAGTGTAGGCCACGCCAGCAAGCAGGTCCGACAGGGTCAAGTTCCCAATCAGGTAGTACATGGGCAAGTGAAACTTCTTGTTCCTCCAGATAGCCAGCAGGACCACGAGGTTCTCCACCACAATGAAGGCGCACACCACCAGGAACACAATGGCATCCGCCTTGAGACTGCCCTTGTATTTGCTGCCATGGAGCTTGCCTGTGTAGTTGTAGTGCAAAGAAATCACGTTGTTGTTGTGGTACTCTCGGTAGATCTGGCCCAGAGAGCGTGGAGTCTCCATGCTGGCAAATTCCATCCCACGGACACCACTCCACCTTCAGTTTCATTGGTTCACATAGCACGGCATAGTCCTTTCCATCATGCTGTGCCAGTCTTGCGCATGCCCCACGCCGGAGAAGTTGGCATTTCACAAATGATATTAATTTTCGTCAGTAGTTAACACGTCCACCGGGGGCCATTTTGGAGAAGCCATCACAGCATTAGCAGACTCTTTCCATTCCGACCAACCAAGAGGGAGCCTAGAAATTCAAGAGAAAGACTTGTGAGTGGAATGCTTGAAAAGCATGAAACCAACCTAGCTTTCCAGGCAGAAGCGTAGTGTGGGGAGGACCAGGCAGGCCCTGGGGGCGTGATTTTGAGGGGGTGCAAGCCAGACGCCCCTTGGCAGGGATCCCCCTCCTACCTGCCACTAGGGGCCTTGCGGCCATGCCCCTGCCCCCCTTGCTGAATGTCACAGTTGGGGGATACACCTGCCATGGGCCACATCTAGCCAGGCTCCTCACTGTGTCGCCCCATGAACCCTCTGTGCCCCACGCCTACCCAGAGGCAGCGGTGGCAAGGGTTGGGCTGGCATGGCAGGTTTCATTTACCCTCCATGCCCAGCTCCTGGTCCTGCCTGGTGCACGTGTGTATGCGCATGCGCATGCGCAGCCTGAGCACCAGCGCATGATGCAGTGCCACCGTTTCCAGGTGATGCCCAGTGAATTGAAAAGGGTCTATCATAACAGAAGCTGGGCAATAGGAGTTTTCTTAATCAAAGTCCATCTTACCCCCCCCCTCCATTGATCACAGATCTCCAGGATTTTCTGCTGGTGCCTTTTATACACACAGCACGAGGTTTATGAGCTGTATCGGGGGTTCCAGCGGCAGAGGAAGCCGCTCGGGCACCTGCGGCAGTGCGCCCAGGGGCAGGAAACTCTGCGGAGTCTCTGAGGAGTCTGCCTGCCTCCTCCCACTCAGCCGCCCTACACCTGGTGGGGAGGCAGTGGGTGGACCGTTTGAGCAGCACAGAGCCTGTGCATGCTTAAGCCATTGCGTCACTCCCAGGAGAGATGCGTGGCTCGGGTGCGCTGCAGGCCCCGTGGTGAGTGCCGCATGGCATTTTGACACACCCCCCCTTAGTGGTGACACCCGGGGCGGCCCACATCCACCGCACCCCCTTCCTCCGCCCCTGGGGGGTTCCAGAACTGCAGCCTATGGGCCACCACTGATCCGCAAACTTCATTTAGGTGGCCCTTGACATTTCTGTAAAAGCACCATTAAAAAAAGCCATTCTAGCACAACACATGACAGTTGCTACAACAGGCAGAAAAATTATTATGTGGCCTGCAAAGATCCTCAGCCATTTTCAAGTAGGGGAAAATGTTTGAGGACCACTGAAGACGTGACTCATTCTCGTAGTCCTTTGCCTGATGCAGAAAGGAAGCACAAGCCATGAGAAGCCTATGGCCCGGTCAAGGAGGCTCTTCCTGCATTAAGAGGTTCCTGCTCATGCCCAGCTGAAGCAAATTCCTCCAAGCAATTCCTGCCCCCAAAAGCTAGTATATTTCAGTCTATTTTTGCCTTCTCCTTCATATGGAAACTCTTCCGCAAGCTAACCATTTCTTTCCTTCTTGGCTTATATTACTGCTCCAGCTAAGGCTTGTTGGTTCTCTCTCTACAATGTTTCTTAAGTTCAGCTTTTAAAATCTATTAAACCTAGTAAAAATCCTTATCTCAGCTCTCACTCTGTCTCACATTAGCTACTGCTACTGTACCTCCCGGTACATTTCTGAGCACAATTCAAAGTGTTGGTGCTGACCTTGAAAGCCCTATACGGCCTCGACCCAGTATTCCATTGTTCAGCCCGGACACTGAAATCCAGTGCCAAGGGCCTTCTGGCAGTTCCCTCACTGCGAGAAGCAAAGTTACAGGGAACCAGGCGGAGGGCCTTCTTGGTAGTGGCACCCATCCTGTGGAACGCCCTCCCATCAGATGTCAAGGAGATAAGTAACTAAACAACCTTTAGCAGACATCTGAAGGCAGCCCTGTACAGGGCCGGAGGAAGGGGGTGCGGTGGGGGAGATACGCCTCAGGCGTCTCTACTGAGGGGGGTGACAAAATGCCAGGCGGCACTCACCGCGGGGCCTGAAGTGTGCCCAAGCCATGTCTCTCTCCTGGGAGTGACGCGGTGGCTTGGGTGCCCACAGGCTCCACGCTACCCCAAACGTTCCACCCGCCGCCTCCCCTTCAGTTTTAGGGCAGCTGAGTGGGAGGAAGCAGTCAGACTCCTCGGAGGCCCCCCCACAGCATCCTGCCCCAGTTCGCCCCACCCCACGGGCGGCTGGTTCCACCCCCCGTGGGCGGCTGGCCCTGGGCGCCGCCCCAGGCACCCAAACGGCTTGCTCCACCACTGGCCCCGTATAAAGGAGGTTTCAATGTTTTATATTTTATTATGCTTTTATATTTGTTGGAAGGCACCCAGAGTGGCTGAGGCAATCCAGTCAGATGGGCGGGGTACAAATAATGTCCCAGCTCCTATTATCTGTATCCAAACACCTTTGGCTTATTCCGCTGCCCACGCCAATTCCTTTCTTCACACTTTAATCCTATTAAAACTCTAACTTGCCCTTTTCTAACCATTGCATCTCCCTAACCACAGGCTTTTCAGCTCTCTTTTTACGAATGTGCCCTTTGACATTCACTTTGGTTGTCAGTATCTTTTCGTTTTAGGAATGGCTGAGTCACTCGCTCCTCCTGCCTCGAAGGCACATCTCACTTTGCCCCATTGTCCTGGTGACCTGAGTTTACATTTCCCCTCTCAGTTTGGAGGTAGCGAAGGCTGTCTGCTACTGCTGTTTCCCTGATGGCTATCAGAACGTTGGTGTTTTGCAAGAATCCTCCTTGCTGGTTTCCCCATAGGCCACTGGTTGGCCACACTGACAACAGGATGTCAGACTAAATGGGCCACTGCTCTGATTCAGCAAGCTTTTCTTACATTCTCACATTCTTATGCGCAGTCCGAGGAGAGCAGTAAAGGTAAAGGTAAAGGTACCCCTGCCCATACGGGCCAGTCTTGACAGACTCTAGGGTTGTGCGCTCATCTCACTCTAGAGGCCGGGAGCCAGCGCTGTCCAAAGACACTTCCGGGTCACGTGGCCAGCGTGACGAAGCTGCATCTGGCGAGCCAGCACCAGCGCTGCACACGGAAACGCCGTTTACCTTCCCGCTATAAAGCGGTACATATTTATCTACTTGCACTTAGGGGTGCTTTTGAACTGCTAGGTGGGCAGGAGCTGGGACCGAACGACGGGAGCTCACCCCGCCGCGGGGATTCGAACCGCTGACCTTACGATCAGCAAGTCCTAGGCACTGAGGTTTTACCCACAGCGCCACCCGCGTCCCTCGAGGAGCCTTGCTGGAGACATTTGGAGCTCTGTTGCATTTGCAAAGAGGAGAGCAGTACATCTTTGCAAATGCAACAGAGCTCCAAATGTCTCCAGCAAGGCTGCCGTTATTGACCCACGAGTTACTAGCCCACCTGCTCACACCTAAAGAAATTAGTCATTTGTAGCACATCAATGGTCTAAAAACACTGGTATTCCAGTGTTCCCCTGCATAGAGGATATCCTTATTCACCACAGGCAATCGGCAGGTGGCTGTTTGCAAGACCAGGGACAATTTTGGGAGCCAAGATTGTAGAACTAGGTTGTAGGAGAGAAAAAGAGAGCAAGAGAAGGGAAGCAGCTCTGGTGAAAGGCCAGCTGCCTTTGTATTATGTTCTTTATATTGTAAGCCTGAGAGCAGGAATTGTCTTATTTTTAATTGAGCCTGGAGCCTTTTCAAACTGGAGAGCGAGGTTGAAATGGTTTAAATTAATACATTAATTTGACACAAACATGAGCATCCGTCTTGTATGCAAGTTACAGACGTCCCTTTTAAAGGCTGCATGAGGGTCTCACCAATTTAGCAGAGGGGTGAGACATGACCAGGGAACCACTTAGCACAGTATCAGTCATATCGTCAAGATATCCTGCCATTTTTGGGACTTGCCATTTTATACCGATGCAGTGCAGGATACTCAGAACCCGAGCATCCGGTTCCAAGGTGTTCCCAGTTTAATCCCTGCGGAACGGAGGTGGGAAAGAATCTTGAAAATGTTACGTGGACGCAATTCACACTCCACCCTCCCAATACAGCTACAGACATCACCAGTCCGTAAAGTGAAAAGAACTGGGAGAGCACTCTGATGAAAGGGTCATATAGAGCCAAGCCACAAGGAAGTTTGGAAAGGTTTGCTGCTGCTGCTTTTGCAACTCCGAAAGACCTTCGAAAGTCAAGAGTACAGCAATGAGATAAAACAATTGCAATCAAGAAACTTTTTGTAATAAAGTCCTGTCCATCTGCCCAATGTCCTCCCCCTTCCCCTGCATTCCTAAGAATTCTGCTCTGCTCTGTTCAATATCTTGCCCCCCACCCCACCCCGCCTCTCTCTCACACATACAACAATAGTCTTCTGCTGAGCACACAAAACATTCCAGACAGGCCCCCAAATGACCTCTCACACTCCGGAGAATGTATTGCATGCACACATGCGCACACAGACATTTCATTGCCTTTAACGTAGTGTTATAAGAATTTTAAGGTCTCAGATATAGAATAAATATTCGTAAATGCACACATATGTAAATATATAAGGCATGTGTCTGAAATAGTACAGAAGAGCAATCCTGAAGTCATTTTGACTCTCCTGATGGCCTCAAATACAGTGGTACCTCGGGTTAAGTACTTAAATCGTTCCAGAAGTCCGTACTTAACCTGAAACTGTTCTTAACCTGAAGCACCACTTTAGCTAATGGGGCCTCCTGCTGCTGCCGGAGCATGATTTCTGTTCTCATCCTGAAGCAAAGTTCTTAACCTGAAGCACTATTTCTGGGTTAGCAGAGTCTGTAACCTGAAGCGTGTGTAACTTGAAGCATATGTAACCCAAGGTACCACTGTATTCCTCTGTGGTAAGGGAGGCAAATGGGGAAAGCC